AGTTAGCAAAAAGATATCTTGTAGAGATGTTTCAAAGAGATGTCTGAGCAAGTCTGAGGGAAAGAAAACAGAAAGAAAAACCAAAAGTTAAAAGTGAGCATCCTTTATTCAACATGCATACACACACCGAAAATGGAGGATATAAAGTCTGTGGCTATTGTTAGCAGGCTAAGCACTAACTAGCCTATGCCCCTCCTGACAGACAAATATCCACAGGACTGTGCTGGTGAAATTGAGCTATGGGACAAGGTGGCTTTTTAAAGTCTACTGTCTAGAAATGACAGTTAAATAAAAGAAAACTGGTAGTCTTCTATGTGTCCACATGGCTCAGGGGATAAGGAGACAGACTGGCACTCCTGAGGTTGTGGGTTCAAGCCTGACCTTACCCAGGTCAAGATGAATTTTAAAGCCTAGTGTCTCACAAAGCACACTCAAATAGGACAAAAGTGGAATTGTTCAGTGTGTCCAGTGTGGCTCAGTGGATAAGAAGATGGACTGTCACTCCTGAGGTTGTGGGTTCAAATCTTGTACAGGACACATTTTAAAGTCCACCAGCCAAAGCTCCAAGATAAAAGGGCATGAAGCTCATCCCCAAGTGCGGACGGTATCCGGTGGCGCAGGGGGTATGCAACTGACACCCAAATACCAAATGCTGGTCAGGCGGGCAGCCCTAGTTCGATACCCACACGGCACGCAGGAGATCCTGAAGCAAATCCTGGGGAACCAGGCCCGGGGGGTGGGGTTTCCCCCCGGTGTTTCCGGAGAGACAAAACAGGGGGGTTATGAGGCAAAAAGTCAGAAGCGGGTGAAATTTTGAAGCACGTGCCTAGATCTATAATACAGATAAAAGAAGAAGACTATAGACGACGACTTTTATAAAGAAGACTATAGATGCCTATATTAAAGATGACTAAAATAAAGACGTCTTCTTTATTAAAGTCGACTAATAATAAAGATTGACTATAGACAACGTCTATAACAAAGATGATGACTTTTATAAAGACGATAACTAAAATATAGTCGTCGACTTTAAAGTAGTCTTCTTTATTGATGATGACGACTAAATTAAAGACGTCGCTATATTAGAGATGACTATGAGAACTATAAATAGATGACTTTAAAGTCAACAACTATATTATAGACATCTATATTTTAGTTGTCATTGTCTATAGTCGATCTTTATTATTAGTCGTCTATAATATAGCAGACGTCTTTATTTTAGTCGTCCTCGTCAATAAAGACGACTATATTTTAGTTATTATCGTCTTTATAAAAGTCGTCATAGACGTTGTCTATAGTCAATCTTTATTATTAGTCGACTTTAATAAAGACGACGTCTAATATAGAAGACATCTTTATTTTAGTATTCGATAGTAGTTGTCTTTATTTTATTTGTCGTCGTCTATTTAATATAGGCATCTATAGTCTTCTTTATAAAAGTCGTCGTCTTTATTATCTTTTATCTGTATTATAGATCTAGTCACTTGCTTCAAAATTTCACCCGCCTCTGACTTTTTGCCTCATAACCCCCCTGTTTTATCTCTCCAGAAACACCGGGGGGAAACCTCCCCCCGGGCCTGGTTCCCCAGGATTTGCTTCAGGATCTCCTGCGTGCCGTGTGGGTATCGAACTAGGGCTGCCCGCCTGACCAGCATTTGGTATTTGGGTGTCAGTTGCATACCCCCTGCGCCACCGGATACCGTCCGCACTTGGGGATGAGCTTCATGCCCTTTTATCTTGGAACTTTGGCTGGTGGACTTTAAAATGCGTCCTGTACAAGATTTGAACCCACAACCTCAGGAGTGCCAGTCCGTTGCCTTATCCACTGAGCCACACTGGACACACTGAACAGTTCCAGTTTTGTCCTATTTGAGTGTCCTTTGTAAGGCACTAGGCTTAAAAATTCATCTCAACCTGGGTAAGGTCAGGCTTGAACCCACAACCTCAGGAGTGCCAGTCCATTGCCTTATCGCCTGAGCCACACTGGACACACTGAACAGTTCCAGTTTTGTCCTATTTGAGTGTCCTTTGTGAGACACTAGGCTTTAAAATTCATCTCAACCTGGGTAAGGTCAGGCTTGAACCCACAACCTCAGGAGTGCCAGTCCATTGCCTTATCCCCTGAGCCACACTGGACACACTGAACAGTTCCAGTTTTGTCCTATTTGAATGTCCTTTGTGAGACGCTAGGCTTTAAAATTCATCTTGACCTGGGTAAGGTCAGGCTTGAACCCACAACCTCAGGAGTGCCAGTCCATTGCCTTTTCCACCGAGCCACACTGGACACACTGAACAGTTCCAGTTTTGTCCTATTTGAGTGTCCTTTGTGAGACGCTAGGCTTTAAAATTCATCTCAACCTGGGTAAGGTAAGGCTTGAACCCACAACCTCAGGAGTGCCAGTCAGTCTCCTTATCCTCTGAGCCATGTGGACACATAGAAGACTACCGGTTTTCTTTTATTTGACTGTCATTTCTAGACACTAGGCTTTAAAAAGCCACCTTGTCCCAGAGAAGGTTCCAACCAAAAACCCCAGGAGTTGCGACCGTCCCCTTATCCTCTGAGCCAAGTGGACACACAGGAGACACCTGTTTTTTTCCTGTTTGACTGTCCTTTGTAGACACAGGACTTTAAAATTCATATAGACCTGGGTAAAGCAAGGCTTGAACCCACAACCTCTAGAGTCAAAGTCAGGTCTTCATATCCTCTTCACCACAAGGACGCACAGGAGTATCTTGTTTATGAAAGATTTTACTCTCCTCTCCCCTCCAGACACAGGACTTTCAATTTCACCAGAACCTGGATAAGCGTTTGAACCTTCAACCTCAGAAATGTGAAAAAAGTCACATCTTAGAGAGAAAAAATGTTATTGAAAAGAATGATAAAAATTTCACATTTATTGTGAAAAAAAATGTCAAATAAGTTTGTTAAAAATGTCATGGTATAGTATCATAAATATGTCATCATATAGTATGATAGAAATATCATGGTATAGTTTGATTAAGATGTCATAGAATAGCATGATGAAAAGCTATAGTATAGTGTGACAAAAATATCATAGCATAGTATCATTAAAAAGTCATTTTATACTGTGATAAAAAACGTCATACTATAGTATGATAAAATGTCAAATTCAAGTATGAAAAAAGTCAGTATTGTATGATAAAAATATCAAAGTTCAGTACGAAAAAATTGTCATAATAAATATATATAAATATATTATAGTATATTATGTTAAAATGTCATTGTATGAAATGACATGGATAAAAATGTCACAGTGTAGTTTTATAAAAAATATAGTATAGTATAAAACAAATGTCATAGTATAGTATGAGAAAAATACCATAGTCAATTATGATAAAAATGTCATGGTATAGTATAATAAAAATGTCATGATATAGGATGAAAAAATATAATTATATAGTTAGTTAAAAATGTTATTGCATAGAATGATGAAAATGTCACAATGTAGTTTTATAAAAATATTCTATCGTAAATTACAAACATCATAGTATATTATGATAAAAAGTCATAGCACATTAAAATCAAAAATATCACATTTTAGTCTGAAAAATGTTGTAGTATAGTGTGGTAAAAAATATTGTTTAGTATGTTAAAGTATCATGTTATAGTATACAAGTCATACCTAAGTATGATTAAAACTATTTTTGTTAAAATATCACAGTATAGTCTGATAAAATTGTCATGGCGCAGTACAATAAAAATGTCATTGTATGGAAGGTATGGACGGTAAAAAATGTCATATAATAATTAGGTTAAAATGTCATGGTATAGTATGATACAAAAACATCCTATCATAGTATGAAAAAATGTCACAGTGTTGTAAAATATCATAGTATATGTAGGATGATAAGAATAAAGTATGACTGATGATTTAAAAAAAAAATCTGCAATTTCAATTGGGCTCTAGCTGCTAATTAGAATTATGGGCCAACAACCATAGATATTTATAATAGTTTGTAATTTCATATAATTATTTATTTAAAAAAATGTCTGATAATCCATTACACATCCACATGATTTATAACCTGAAATAGTCCCTCAACTTTATGCCTGAGCTTGCAACTTAGTTTATTGAAAGATGAAAATGATCATCAAAAGTGAACTTACCAAACAAGCAAAAAGTTTTGTGCTTGCGATGGACTGCAAAGGCACGCACGCACACACACACACACACACACACACACACACACACTGACAGACATGTACGGGATGTGCTTCCAAAGTTAATATCATTTTACAAATGTATAGATTAGCCAAGTCCGGACCCTTGTAGTCTCACAGCAGTCCTTCTGCTCCATTTTCCTGTAGGCCCCCCCCCTCCCCTTATTATTCCCCCTCTCATCCAGCTTCATGTAATCCCCGGTCTCCCATTACCCAATCTCCTCCCCTGTTCTCTGCATCTCCTCTAGCTCCAGCAGTTCCTGACAAGGCACAGTCAACTTCCAGACAAAGCCCATTCCCCCTGTATTTAAAATCCCCCCTCTTCCTTTCCTCCTGACACAATATGATTAATCATTCCATTAACTGATCCACTGTCTCTGGATTGTTGCGCTTGCGATACAACCTCAACCGCTCCCCTGAGAGACACCGAATCTTCAGGCCGTCGTCCAAAGCTCTCAAGCAAACTCTACTTGTCTTTGTTCACTACACGCCTAAAACAGCTGTCATCCAATGTGGGTTTGACTGTCTGTCACTAAATCTGCCCCAGGGTGAGGAGACTGAGTGAAGGAATGTAACCAGTTTGGAAAAACTCAAAAAAATAAAAAAAATAAAAGTCAACTTAAAAAGAAATCTTACAGCTTGATCACATTGTGAGAAATCAGTCATCAGATCTCTGTTCAAGCCACATTTAAAGAAAATGCTTAGCGATGTTTAAATAGTGAGGAAAAGGTTTATGTCAAGCTCATAGATGGCGACATGCAAAACATGTGTAGTATAAAATTTGAATGATAATGAATACTGTAAGTAAATACTTCTCTGTTGGTTTTACATTTGATATTTATTGAAACAAAGAGCATTGAGCCAATTTGTAAAAAGTAACAAAATATCTGCTATAACACATTAACAAACCTCAAAGTTCATGGAGAAGCTTATAAATATATATATAGTTGGATTGGTAGGAACAGTCTGACTATGGAGAATCATCACAGGGGTAGTGAGCAGTTAACTGAGTGGTACTGGAAAATTGTGCTAATGATCACATCTGAACATCTGTGATATTTATACAAGTGTGTAACAGTAAAGCTGAACATATATAAGAAGACAGAACTTGTGTATCAAAACGATAAGGTGCATTTCCCTTTAGAAAAAACAGTGAAGAACCGCATTAGTGAGAACACAACTTTTAAAAAGTGACATGAAAACTCTGGGCTGTCTGGCTAAATTTGGACCTATAGAGGAGATGATGCTTTCCTGTTGAAGATCTGTGTAAGAAAATAAATACAGTTTATTGATTTGTTGGATAGACATACTATATACACAGAGCATGAAATATTTCACCACTGTAACCACAACATTGCCCATATATATTTAAACCATGTTACGTATTGTAGAATAATGTTAAATGGATAATCTGAACTATATGGAAAAGAATGTAGACTATAATTAGATATATTTGCTGATGCACTGCAGTACATAAAACAGTCGAACAGACACATACAGTTAGGTTTAAGCCTCTGTATCAAAGTGCATAATGGTGGAGGGCTTGTTGCAGCACCTGGGGGACTCTAAGGCTTCTGGGAAAGCTTAATAAATTGCCCAAAACCCAAAACAGCTTTCAAACTGTACCCATTGTACTCCAAGGTCTCATAACAAATAACAGTTTTCCTTACTCTCCATGTGACAGGCAGAGTTCAGTAAGGATGTGAAGGCTGGTTTGGTTCTGGGCCCAAGTAAAAAAAACAATCATACACTACAGTACACAGGCCTCTTAAAACAGTCATTCTCAAAAAACAAACTAGGACTTCTTAGTCAACTTTGCCACATAATCAAACAAAATGGGGAGCACAGTCCAATTTTGCAATCAGTGTGACCCATTTGACAAGAAAATTGGTATTTTTTTGGACTTAGAAAGGAGAGAGGAGGAAGATTTCCAGCCAGTTTAGGCACATGAAGGGGGTTAAAATCAGCTGGTGAAGACTGGGCCAAAATAGAACAGAACAATCTCAAAATAAATATTTCACGATACTCTCAGTTTCTGAAGACATAACATTTTTTTTTTTTGAAGAAAAAGAGTCAGTCTTTTTGCAACGGCATAATTGTTTAACTCTATAAATATAATTTATATAGTTTCTTTCTTCCATTCTCTCTATTCAACTCCTTTTTTCTTTGCTGCTCACGGATACAAACAGATGTTTGCCCATCGTCTGCAAACGAAACACATGGACTGTGCTCCTCTTCTCACTTGCAGACAAATTGGTCAACGATTCTGGTGCAGCGCTTGCACTTGACGTAGCAGCACCAGTGGAACTTGCAGTGGCAGCGCTCCACTAACTGGGCCTTGTACTGGTCGTAGCCACGGCCACAGCACATCAGCTCGCACCCATCCATCCCCTCTGAGGTCTTGTTGCAAAGGCGCCCCACTGTGCCAAGGGAGCCTGTGCTTTGGTTCTTTAGACAGTAGTCTGGACTAGACTCGATGTACACCAGGTCATGGCTGGTGGGGGCGTTGAACTTGCTGTGCATCTGCACCATCTTTCCGCGCGTGTTGAGCTTCATGGCAGTCGCGCTGTCGTACTTCTCCTTCAGCGCATCGCCCACCTTGCGGAAGTCAGCAAGCTGTAGCCAGCAGGTCTTCAGGCTGCAGGAGCCTGACACCCCGTGGCACTTGCAGGACACATGAGCAAGGTCGGACACAGTCTATGCACAACAAAAAAAAAGGAAAAATTAGGAAAATAAACCCCCCAAAAAACTCAAACTTCTTCTGGGAAACAGCTAAAATATGCTCAAGTGTTGCATGCCTAATGTTCCTGACATGACCTGTCTGCATAAATATTTGGAGAACCTGCTGCTCATGATCTCATAAAGGCATAACTTTGCCATGAAGAGCTGAATGATCCTGAACATGTCTCCAGTGGTGCATTGAATTAAACCTTGTCTACTTATTTGTCCAAGTTAAAAGGGAACAGCATGGCTACAGATATCTGGTATTACATATTTTCTTTTGAGGTTGTTTCAAGATGTTTGGAGAGGAAAAGAAAGCCCAGACCTGCCTCCACCGACTCCATATCCCTATAGATCAAAGCCTCAGGAGGGGGGGAGCACATGGAGCTGTTACACACATGATCAGCTGAGACCTGTCTAATTGACCTGGATTATCTCACAGTTAACGCCTGTTGCTGTTTCTTAATCATGGGTTGGTCTCAAACTGGGGCCTGCAGTTTGTAATTTTCCGCTCTGCCTATGTGATGACATCTTTAAACTTCTCTGCGGTTGTATGTAAGCCCACATGCTTATAACATCCATGTCTTACCCTCCTCCCCGCCTCATTGTTGTGAAGATTCATCAGCAGCCGTGCGCTCTCATACGATCCCTTCGGGTAACTCTTCTCCCTCTCGCGTGCATCCACAAACTCTTTGGAGAACCTGTAGCCGTAGTTGAGGTTGTCTCCACAGCCACCCCACAGCCAGTCCCGCGGTAGGTCCTTGGGACGAGCTGCACGGCTGCACCCACAGCTGGAGAGCTCTCCCTCTCTGCAGGCACGGCTCACTGCGTTCACCACCCCTGCTGCGCTGATGGCATAAGTGAACGCCGTTTCTCGACTGCCTGTGGACACACAAACAGGAACAGAATGTCACATTTGACGCACTAAGTAAGAGAATAAGTGAAAAATGTCTAGCTGCGCTGCTTCCACTACTGAAGATTATATGTGTGTGAGAATTTTATACTGAATTTCTGTCACTGTCATTTAGCTTCAAGTGTCTGTTCACTGTTATGAGATATGATGTCATATGACAGCATAAACCATACATGTAAGATTACAGAGCACTCCAGCCAAGTGCTGCAGGCTCCTCATCACCAACACGTTGAGCGGTGGAATCTGGTTTGCTGTTGTTGGGCTCCAGCCAGAGAGGGGAGAGCGCCCTCCAGTGACAGAGATCCTTCTAAACAAGCAAGCTTCAATTTTACTCAAATTGAAAGCGACAACAGCTCTTTCGCTTCATCCGTCATGACTGAGTGATTCTGGAGCCATTGCTCATTAACTCCCACTGTTTCAGCCCTCAACATTTCCTCTATGGAGACGAGAGGTTTGGGGCCGTAAAAAAAAAAAAAACTTTAAAAACTTCACGTAAGCAGCCTTTTTCCCTGTCATTAAATGATGGATCCATTTCTATCTCAGTATATAACCGCAGACTAAAAAAGATGAGGATATAACTAAAGAAGAAACAGTTTACCAAACTATGAGCTGTGTGTTGACATTAAAGAGGGAGACAGCTACAAAATAAAAGAACATACAGCTCATATACCTGCTGCGTCAAAGATTTGGAGAGCCTGCTATAATGACAATAACAGACGGACAGAGAATGGGAGATCAGGAGGGAGAATAAAAGACATCTAAAGAGATAAGTCAAGAAAAAGACATTTGTGAAAAAAAGGGAGGAAAGTGGAAATGGGGGACATAAGCATGCCCTTGATAGCGCAAAAAGCAGTAAAGTCAATCGTGAAAAAAAAAAGGAAAAGATAAAGAAACCTTTTGGAAAGTCTCAAAGATATTCAGGTGGAAAAGTTGAGCAGGAGCACAGGGGGTTAGGAGAGCGGGGGATTTATGAGACAAGTACAACTTTTAATCCAGCCTGAGGATATTGGTCTAATAGTGGACCTGTAGACGGACAACCTGTCACGCTGCTGCCTCCCTCCTCCCGTACCCCACCCGTCCAGCTCGCCAAGTCAGCCAGGCAGGAGAAACTGTCTGACCCAAACCACAGCGGCACTTCTCAGAGGAGCTCAGGTTTAAATCACCAGCAGTCTAGTCTAACAGGAAGACGGACAGTAGAGCGGGCTTTCAGACAGACAGCTATAGAGCTGCAGAGAGGGGAGGACATGTTTATTTGGCCCAGAGTTGGCTGAGAGATAGAATAAGAGGGATGAGAGAACAGGGGCCAATGAGGATTTTGTGAAGATGTATCAGTGAAGGGGGACCCAGCAGGGTCAGTGACATATAAATGTCTTCACCGCACTGGGACACTTAAAAAAAAAACTCACATCTGACCTCCGAAAGTCAGAGTTTTCAACCACTGACTTATTATTTTGCATAGCCTAGGGATCTTGCAGGGTTATCAACCACAAGACTACAGCCAGATTCATATCCTCATTTGGGATAGCGGTTAGCTAGTTAGCTACAGCCTTGAGGTTTTAAAAGGGCCACAGCAATATCTGTCTGTCTGTCTTTCCCCACTCTATCGTGAGAATGAATAAGTGGACAGATTGCAGAGGGATTCTTGCTCTCTCCACAACTCCACCAGTTTCGCCTCCTCCTTCTTTACAGTCAGGAAGAACAGCACGTCCTATTGCGGCCCCATCCCAACATATTTGTTTAGCTAGTTAGCAGCTTCCTGTTTGGTGTTTGTGAGAGTGCACCTATTAGTTGTTCAAAATGTTGAACTAGTGTAAATGTTTGGCAGTTCCTTTACACTGAAGCAGCATTTGCGACTGCTAAAAGGTCCTTCTGTCACCGTGTAAAGTGGCACTGTTCTGTTGAATAACGCCTTCTTCAGTGATATTACATTATAAAGTTGCATGACCAAATACTGGCCTGGCTTGCATACAAATCTGTGTGCGTGTGAAACTGAAACGAGGCCAGTTTCTTCTTGATAAGACCTGCAAACTTGCAATAATGTGCAAATTTACTGTTACGTTAGGAAAGAGAAGGACTTCCTTTGAACAGTAAAGATTTAGTTGTATGACCACCGTAGACCAAACTGCATGAAGCAGGACCCAATGTTGACATTCCTCTCATGATTTTATTCTGACTTATTTGTTTGTGACTCAGAAAGTTGTTTTAAATGTTGTGTGCTGTGAGGCCAACACGAGTTGCTTGCAGCATCACATCTAAAAAACTACCTCGTAGAAAACCTCTTTTCCTTAAGACAGTTTCCTGGTTACTGAGAATCTTATTTGGATCGTTTTTGGGTCAATTTTCTGCTGAATAGCTTTCTACCAAAACAAGAATAGCCACCCAGAAAAATATTACAGGATTACCAGGGGAAATTGGAACATAATTTCTGGGTTGGCAAATAACTGTTGAGTGAATTAAAAGTTATTTTTAAAGCTAAATGCACCGCAAAGACATTCCATCCATCATTTATTCCATTAATTGCATCGTGATGACAGCAGAAAAGTTAAAAGATGGATTTTTTTTTTCAACCTGACTCGTGTGGGCATTCTCAGTTGGTGTGATGTTTTTCCCTCCTTGTTTGTTGTTTTCAAGTTTCTAAAAAAAAGTGCAAAATCCAAGTCCTTCTTCAGGGACTCCACCAGAGTCCTAAACCGTGAGCACCACAGGCACTTTCAGGTTCACAAAGGCAGTTTAGATTTAGCTATAAAGCAGCCAACACTGATGCAACTCTGCTAGGATCCCAACATTGACAGATTTGTCATAAATCAACTGCAGTTATGATCGATAAATGGTAAATAGCCCGAACATTAGCCCCTGATGTAAAGACTCGCGTCAAATCAAATGTAAAAAAAAATTGTCAGATTATAAGATCCAAAAGTGGCGTTTCCTTTTAAGAGAGGATTGTTAAGTTCTTGAACTCTCTATAAGACATCGGAGCACTTTGTGAACCCACACGCAGGCCTACATACACAGACTGTAATCACTGACAAGGTGATATATCAGTGCATACACTTGGTGCACTCCTGTTACTTGTAAATACAGTCCAGCTCCACGGTGTGTGCATCTGTGTGTATCAAAATAGATTAGGTTGTCTCTCATTCATTTGGGGGGAGGCAGATCCTTTGCCTCCCTCCTGCTGCATGTCAGGAGCTGGTTTTACAGGCCAAAGCCACATGTGATTTATCCAGCAACCTCACCCACCAGCTATTCCCTCCACACAGCTGCTGAGATTTAAGACAACCATACACATCACACTCAGATATACACAAACACACAATGAGGTTCAAGAAACAGCATATAGGAAATGTTATCATCTCTGCGTCATTTCTTACCTATTTGCATGACCCGTCCAAACACGGAGGAGTTGTCCACTGTGCTGCAGTTCCAGCGCCGGTTTCGGAACTGGTACTGGCACTCTCGGATGCCGGTCTTGGCGCCCTCACCTATGTACTGCATGTGGTCCTGGTAGAGCTGGCACAGCTTCTTCTGGCCCTGTGACAGGCCCACCAGCTGGCTGCATAGAGGCTGGGCACCGATGATGTAAGCCTCAGGGATCAGTAAAGGGTTCATGGCCAGAGACCTGGATGAGGGGAGACCACATAGTAACGCAGTTGTTTGCACTCATTCGGTCGCAAATATATGGTGGATTCATAATCAATGGCTGGTTTATTCATTTACATCTAATACGAGTGAAGTTATGCTAACCAGAGAAATAAGGAAGTTATTTATCAACGATTGTAACAGCTTTCATAATCTTAAATATGGAATTGATGTGCCGAATTGATCTGAAAATAGAGCCATAAATGTAAGAGTCAAGGAGGAAAAGAAACGGAAGATAAAGGATATTCAAAGTAAAAATAAAGTAAAAGGTTGCATAGCCATAGCATCAAAAATGTAGTTTCTGATACGCTGTTGTAAAATTCTAAGGAGGCCATAAATCTGTTGGGAGAAAATAAAACCAAACTCTGTAAAGTTACATTGAATTTTATGAAGATTTTAAAAGCTAAAGAAACTCTTCTGAATCATCTCCTGACCAATCACGTCCAACAGACTTTAGACGCACTTTGTATTTTTCTTCTTATAGTTTTGACGCTACAGTGAACCCTTTCACATTTGCAGTATTTAAGCTGCGTTCTTTTTACAGCGTCATATAGGAAATGATACAGTAATTTAATCTATAGTCAGAGCTCCTTTCAAGTTTGTGTCAGACAAAAGACAAGGAATTAAACAGAGTCACAGACAGACACAGAGGAAACCAACAGAGGGGAGAACTATATGAGCATCTGGTTCCCGGCCACAGGACAATTAGAGCAGCCCATCTCTGAGCCCAAAGAGAAAGACAATTAGCCTCCAGTGTAACCTGATCGACTGGGGAAACTCAGCAGCCAGGGAACATAAACTGAACACACACAACATATACAGAGAGGTGCACACATAGAGAGAGAGAAAAAAAAACTAAACATGCACAGATACCGTGCACTCAGACACACTGTCAAACACACATACAGTCAGCCGGCCTGCTGCTCTGACTCTCTAAATCATTCACACCTGTGTGTCCTCTCAGAAAGGAAACTGAAAGACACACATAGTTTGGACTCCGAGCTTTCCAAAGGGTCTGCGGTAATGTGCGAGTCCTCAGCTGGGTCGGTAATCCAACACTTTATTTGAACTATAATGTAGTCGCCCACTGAGCTAAGCCCATTAAAACATGTTTATCCAAATAAATCCTCCTCAAATTAATTGTTGAAATTATTATTTTCATATAAATGAGACCATCACTACATGATGTCAACACAGGCTTTGAAGTGCTCATTTGAAGTAAATAAAACTCAGAGAGAGAGAGAGTGGGTAAGTTTCCTGTAAATGCTGCATGTTCTCGGATACAAAATTATGAATAGACACAAACAGGATGTAAGGAGTTGTGTTTACTTGAAGTGGTGCTTCTATGAAGACTAGTAAACACTATTTGCCCCTATCTGGAGCACTCTGTGTGTTTAAGGGCAACAAATATAGACTGAGAATATCAGCCGGACATTGGTCTACACACACTAACACACACACACACATACCTTCAGTCACAAACTGTTCGTGTTTCCACATATTTAAAAACCTACTCATAAACCTCAGTATTCTCTATGTTTTTCTATGATATTCATAATTTTGGTTTGGCAATATGTGAATAAAGAAAATAAGGGAGAAAAAAGGTCTTCCTGGGAAGCTAATGTGCTACAGTCAGCATGTTATGTTTCTGCACATGTGGTGCAACTGAAGCTTAAGACGCCTGCTTTGCAAACATGCACACAAGCCTCACTTAGACGATGAAACTATGTTAAAGGAATATTACTGTCATTTTTTTAAAATGAAAAATCTATACTATCCTGTATTTCTGGCCTTTTTTATGTTTTTTTTCCCTTGTTTTAGTGGACCTCACTTAAAATGTGACTCATCTATGACTGCTAAGAAAAGAGAATGAGTGAAAGCTGACAATCTTCTCGAGCCAAATCATGAATACACATGTGCATGAATGAAAAGGAAATACAAAAATAGTTGTGTAAACGCGGAGAGAAAATGAATGCATACCACCATGAGTTGGCCTCCACAACCACCTGCATCAGGAGCGTGAGGAGTGTGAGGGCAAACACACAATGTCTGGAGTCCAACAGCCTGCCAAAGGGCCAGCAAACCGGCCGACATGCACAGCCCAACTTGAGGTTCATACTGCTGCTGATCTAAAGAAGGACGCAGAAGAGATGCATGTCAGTTCGCCTGTCTGGATGTCTTCTTACACACAGTTTACTGTTCTCAATAGAGAGAAAGACAGACAGATGTCAATGATGTTAAAAAATTTATGAAAGGAATTCAAGAAAAAAAAAACACACACCCGGCATGTCTGTACTGTTTTTTGTTTTTTTCTTTTACATGCGCACAGCACTGTGCTTGTGTGCGATAGAAGCCCTGAGGCCAGCAGTGCTCGCACAGCACAGCAGTGACTTGGCAGCAGGTCTGAGTGCGAATCACAGTGGACTGATAGACGTGCAGCCGAAGAAGACACAATGACCATGAAACCCCATCTACACACATTCCTGACAGTCCACTTTACTCTGAGAAAGAGACGTACAAAGGCAGAGACACACTGACAGAGGCGGGCCTGATGCTGTGAGTGTGTCTTTTTTTTTTTTGTTACTCTGCTTTAAACCACCAGATAAATATTCAATTTCAGAATTAAACTGCTTCACATTTGACCAACAACTACAATTGCTTGGGGAAAAATAAAATAAAAAAATCCAAAACACTGAGAAAAAGAGGTGGTTTCTGTTTTATTCTTTTCACTTAGTGGTAGGCCTGATTTCATTTTTTTTCTAGCGATGTTTAATTTTCCTCAATTTTATAAGAAGAAACTCTTCAGGGAGATAATCATATTTTTAAATGAAAAGTAAAATATGTTTAAATTATTAAAGTTGATTTAAAACATTTCTTAAGAACAAAACTGGAGGATTTAAAATTTACATTTTAAAAAGCCTCTTTTATGAGATTTAATGGGAAAGGATATTTAGTTATGTAGAAGTGTTGGTCATAGCAGTCAATTATAAGGCCTAAATTTCTATAAGTTTTCATATTTTTATTTGACAGGATCAGACTAAAAGCAGCCACGTCAGCGGATCACAGTCTATGGCCTGGTTTACGATTACGCCTTTTGCCTTAAAGGACTGGGAATTAAAAGTCAGAAATAATTATAACAATTCTGTCGACGATCTCGTGGCTTTATTTGATCAAGTTTGGCTGCCATGTTGGGCTATGTAAGCAGAAAACGAGTAAAAATAATTACCCTTTAAACCTCAGCCGTGTGCCAGCCGTGTGTGAGTGTTGGGACTGAGAGCAGCTCTAATTTGTCACGCTGTGGTATTTTCCAGGTTTGAGTCGTGCAGACCTGGATCTGCCTAATACTCATTAGAGACCGGGCCAAGTTCACCATCACTCAGGCTGCGCACGCGCTCATACGCGCACGCGCGGGCGTATGCTTTGACTTTTCGCGGCGAGTCAAAGCTGAGCTCTGTTCCTCTCTCACTTCTGACACATAATTTAAAGGAGGAATCGAGGTGAGGTGGCGGACTGACACTTATTTTTAACCGACTATATGAAGTTGTGACACTTGTCCGGAAGCAGATTTAAAAATTTACGTTAATATTAGGCCTATAGTTAATGAATAATTATATTATACAGTTAAATCTTATATTTTCACCTCGTAATAAACATAATTAGGAGTCATAGTGAGGTTTCTTCCTGTGTTGTCATATTTAAATTTGCTCTAATTAAGCCACAGGTGCGCGCAATTATCTGCCGTTCCAAATCTCCGTCTCAGCCAATCAGAGCAGAGAACATTTATCGTTCTTAAAAGCGGCACAATTTTTGAGCTTTTCCCCCAAATTTATAATATTTTCTTCTCATTTCAGTGGCTGGAGATATTAACAAAACTGTCCGAGTTTTGTTTAGTTTTCTTATTCATTTTAACCACTGCAAGCTGCGCAAATCCTGCGCCCGCTGACCCCATGGAAACGATCTGACCTCATACACCTGAATTTAAAGCCTACAGCGACTTCTTCTCTGATTTTTGCCGGTAGAAGCAGCAAAAAATGCGTTTTTTTCAGGTGTTGATACATCGGGGTGCTGTGCATGGATGATTTACGATAGGCTACTATGTTGGTTTAACAGGGCCTGTGTTAATTTAGATCAAATCTTCGACTCGAAGGGTCACATAAAAACAGATTTATTTTCAAAAGGAGGAAAAAACAATTAGATATTTAGAATTATTTTAGAAATAACTGATGCAACTACGGGCATTTTTACATGAACGAGAGTACGATTTTTAGTGTCAATAATTACAGTCTGGCCTGTGTCTGAAAGCCTGTGGACTAACAATTGATTCAAACCTGTCAAACGGATATGAATGTAGGTGGTAACCTACATGAATGATCAATTTATCCAAAGACTAAATAAAACTGTTAGCCTACATTCACTCGGACTGAATGGTCCTGTTATTAAGAGACAAAAAGCTTAAATGTTGACCACATTTAACAGCGCAGAATGATGACTGTTAATCCGTCTGCCTTGTTGTTTAATAAAAACCAGGAGAGGGAGCCAGGTACTAGGATTTGATGAGAGGCTACACAAAGGACCTGACTTTAATTGGGACTGTTGACAATGGAAAGGGAAAGCAGACATATTTATTACTTGTATGTGCATTAAAAAAAAGGTGTTTAAGACTCATTGTTGCCAAATTAAATAGTTAAGAATAGAAGGATACATGGGCCGCAGGTAGCAGTATGCAGTATGTATATTTCACACATCATATATTTGATTAAAACTTTTATCCACATACTAGAGGACGCAGGAATGTAGCAGGGGTGTTTTTAACGCAGGGTTCCCACCGTTCTTGAAGAAAAAGTGTGGCAGCATGGATGGAAAAGTGAATGAAGCAGGAGACCTGTATGCTACTCACCAGGGAGCACAGCCCTTCAGAGGTTGTAATCCACTCTCTGCAGACAATATCAGACCAATAATCCCAGTGCAGGCCAGGTGGATTTAAGATTTCCTTTTCCACTTCTTTGCAGAAGAGTTCGGTCGTTTTATCCCAATCTTTTTGGAAAGTGCTCAGTCGGGGTGAAGCTGAGAGTCCCTCCGTTTGATGTTTGGTGAACAATCAGTGGCTGCGCTTCGTGCGCCAGACACTTCAGAGGGCTTGTAAGAAGCGATGTGTTGTAGAAAATGTCCAAAAAACAGTGTAAGGAATTAATCAGTTCCTTGAGCAAATCAGTGCGTGACTTAACGGTGAATTTAAACAAACGAAACCATCTACGGCGAGCCAAAGTGGCAGCGACATACACGTCAGATATCGATTAACTTCTAATTGAAAGCGGCCTTTTTTAGAGCCCCTATCCAAATAAAAGCTGTTCCAGATTGCAGCTAAACCTACTTCAAACCGAAAACATGGAAAAAACTTGCTAGAAACATTCAACCCAGCCGCAAACAGGCTCAGGTCATAGCGCGTTCTACCTGCGGAAAGCTCCACACGGTGATCCACGCCACAGACGGCTCGTCAATTTACCTTCCATTCTGTGCAAAAAACGACTTTGTCAATTCCTCCACTCTGAGGTCCTCACATGCACAAAACAATAAGTCATCCGCCTCGCAAAAAAGAAAAAGGAAGGAAAAAAAACAGATGCCACAATTAATCGGCTCCAGACAGTATGCTCCCTCAAAAAAAGAGAAACTTTCCGCGCGGACTATCTCCAAACAGTGTGGCTTGGCGAGTGCGCGCGGTGCCAGGGGGAGGAAAAGAGCACAGCGTGCGAACAAGAGCAGCTTTGCCCAGGATCCGAGCCTGCCGTCCTCCCACTCAGCGTGTGTGTATTTCTGTGTGCTGAGGTGCAGAGAAGTATTGTCGACTCGTCCTCCCTCTCTCTCTCTCCTTTTCTCTCTCTCTCTCCCTCACCTGCTTCAGTCGCCTCCTCTCACAAACTAGCAAACTGTTGCATGGATGCGCAGCGCTAAACCTTCAGATGGCGCATGCGCTTCACATTTCTTCTTGAAACTCCTTTTTCTCCTGAAGTCACCGACTCTGTAAGGCGAGGAATTTTAGTGTAGGTAACTTTGCGGAGAGAGAGAGAAGGGCGGAACAGGCAGTAACAAAACAAGCGTCTCTATTACCTAAAATAAACTTATAAAGCACCCGAGGCTATTACCCTATCCATACCAGAGCAGAGTTAGGATTTTCACTGGCAGCAGATCGAGTTACTACTCAGTAAAACCAAGACAAGCAGGTCCATATCGTATGCTTACACAGACGTCTCTCATCACCTGGAGGCCTTTGAGCATCATGGTCATGACGGTCATTATTGTTTTATGGTACATTATCCCAAAACACACTGGAGGAATCAGACGCCCACAGTCAAATATTTTCCAAAGATGAGTGTCAGAGGGCAGAGTGTGTAATGGTTTCATGTATGTCACTGTATATTTCTCAGTCTGAAGGCATCTGAAGGTGAATGGTAAATTACTTTCTATTGCTCTGGACAGAATTTCACATGAGTGGGGGGAATAGAGATAGAACAGCGGTTGGTAGAGAAAGGAAAACAATGCTTCGATTAATTGAAGGGGGCAGTCACCTGGAGATCTGGCTGTATGCCTGAATAAAGACCCTCCTCAGGTGATAGAGGAGAAAGAAATTTAATCAGACATTTTTATTGTGCTGTAGACCTTCTATAAGGCTATAGGTTTCAAACTAGTGTGAGTACCTAGGACCTGAATAGGAAAAATAGGTGTCTATAATGTTGAATAGTTTAATCAATCCTATGTTTCTAATTCTCCGCACATTGTAGAATATAAACCAGTAGGTGACAGCTTTATTTTAAACCCCTTCCTAAAAGAGAAGAAATAAAAACATTATTTTATGGTCTTAACATTCTTGAAATACTTCTGTGAGAGTCATCGTTTTGTCAAATTTTTCGCACAGTGTGTATATCTCCTCAAGGAGCAAAGCTAATCATGTGACTGTGAATACCTGTGGCAGGATTGAGTGTGAAGTGCCTGCAAATCGTGCAAGAGGTCCATTCCCAGCTAATGTTACCATGGTGGATGCTGGAGGCTGCAACTGCGTCAAAGAGCACTTAAAACATGCTTGGCCACATTTCTGATCCCTTGCTACGCCTCCCTCTTCCCTACCCCTCCCTCCACCTACTCCTCAACCCCCCCCACGTTCCCTTAGGAGGAAAACTGGGCAACATCTGGCTAAGTTTATGCGAGAAAGAGAGAGAGAATTGGTAGACCATGAAAACTGGGGAGAATTCTTTCTCGGGCGGTGCAAGAGTCTATTGTTGTAGTTGCCATTAGCGGCGGTGAAACTTTAATCTTGTGAAAATACCCATTGTTGCATTCAAATTTGACCAATAACATGGCTGATGTCAGTGTTCATATTATTGTCTTCCTGATAAAACACATGTTACAGTTCTTGTGAAAACAACTTTTATTCAAACAACAGAAATGAGCTGACCGCTGCAAAACACTGTGGTACGAGTCAAGGCTGTGAACCCCCCCCCTGTCATGAGAGCGGCATGAAACCACACACACATGCACACACACTACAAAAAAAAACTATACATGTTAGGTACGGGGGAAATGAAAACACTGCAAGACTGTTGAATGAAAACACAACAATACTGTACCTTTTTAAAGTCACCTTAGGTCACCCTCCAGTACAGTAAGAAAATAATGACACAGTGCTTAAGTCACTTCATTAGAAACTTAAGAGCCACTCAGATTCACAGGATTACACAGACAATAAAATTATACATCATCATCGTCATCATCATCATCATCATCAGCGTAAGAAGTCACACAGCTAAAAAGAAAAAAAAAAAGAGTGGCACTCAAGACTGTTTCGGAAGTAGAAAAGCAAACAGAACATGATATTGGTTCATTAAACAAATGCACAGCAGGCTAAAAGAACACAAGGAGAGATGTAAAAACAGACTTTTCTTACAGTAAGCTGGCTGATTTGAGGTCAGCAGAGTTTCCTTCCACTTTAATAAAAGGTCCTGTTTTTTTTTAGTAGAAGTAAGCTGAGCCTAAAACTGTTTTTTTGTGGGGCATCTTAAAGCCCAAATTCACTTTTCTTGTTGATCTCTCCGCAGGAACTGGGAGACCGTCAGTTGACTGAGTAGTCCAAACAATTCAGACACAGTCCCACTGCGGTAATTTGTTTCAGCAGACAGGGTTGTCTCCTTTGGCACGGTACATCGAGAAGGTCTCTGTGGATTGCAGATTTCTGAGGTCCATGTTGTGATATTTACAGAAGTTAGCTATTTAGCTGCAGATGTAAACACATTCATGCCATCATAAACCAGTCCAGGATTGGCATGGGTTTACGGTTAGTTCCACTGGCTCAGCTTAGCCACACTGGTAGTCGACAGCGGTGGAGTGATTGTCGCTTGATATGGAGCCAGAACCCTGTAGCACCGCAGTACTGTAAATGAATCCAGCTCCCAGTCTATTGAAAACAGGCAGGGAAATGAAGGCAGTGGACTGCTTGCCAATACCTTGAAGCTCCACACTGATGACTGATGCTCTGCTGAGGGACATTCACCCACAGCAGGCTTAAGCACTCAGTGGGCCAATGTGTTTGTCAGTGAAGGAGACATTCATGGGTAAGATGGAGAATTTGTGACCAGCTGAACTTGTCCATAATAAATTGATACGCTGGACCCCTGGAGGATGTATACATTTGTGGATATGACGGCTGTGACGGTGGGGAGATTTGGGCTGCTTGACTGTGTGGACTCACAGCTCTTGAACCTCTTGGTACCTGGCTCTACAAGCAGCTGCAGAAAAAAAACAACAAAAAAAAACGAAAAAACAAAGAGACAAAAAGAGTCAGTATGCGAGTCAACCAAAAAGAATGAAAAACAAATGCTTAACTCCACAAAGGGATATGAAGATGCATCATTTTGCCAAGGGTCTTAAGTTGTTTTTAATTTCCTCCGCTGTCTCCTAAAAGGTTACATCATTACCATCATGAATACATCTCTCACTAACGGACAAAGAGATCTCAGACGCTCAAGTCTACTGCAGATATTTAGTTTTTCTTTGCCTTAGGTTGGCCATTTTCTTCCTTTAGCTGTCTGGCGAGCTTCCAGAGCTCCTTAAGAATGCCCTAAATGCAGTTGGCAGCGGGCCAAACATCAAGCGCTCATTAATAAAAAAGGGAAAAAACGTCTATCGGAATGTGTCTGTTATTCAGGCCGTGCAGCAGTCAGCAACAACTCACTTCTTTTCCTGAGGGCTAGGCTAGGGAAGAAAAAGGAAACAATGATGTATGTCTAGCTTGCTGGGGGCGCCTCATTGGCTGAGCAAACAGGCCCCAAAATAACTACCAATCACTGAAGACGTTATCATCAGTCACTCAAGAGAGGTGCATAGTAAAGGAGCTGCAATAAAAACACTGTATGTTGGGGGAACTGCAGGTAAAGTTTGGACATTACAACTGCACTATCTTTAGCACAACATAGTACTTATACATCTGAGTGTCCGCCCTACGAGGCTGCTCACACTCTTCCTGTTCCCCTCTGATTGGCTGCCATGCAGAGAGGGACCATCCATTACAGTCCGGAGTAAATAAACAAGTAAAGCAATTATAGTGCTATCATTTGTAACGCAGTGCATGTGTACGTGTGACTCAATCCATGTCTGCACATGTACACTTTTTTCGTGTGTGTGTATGTGTGAATTTGTGCATGCATGCTGGGCACCATTCTCAAGTTTCTTTGCCGTCGTCTGCACCAAAATTAATGATTCTGGGGCCAGAGAATCAACAAATATGTCCCCCCGGTAGGGCATAATGGAGAGCATGACCTGAGTGTGGATGTGTTTGAAGAGCGCTCCTCTTTCTTCTCTGTCAACACCTCACTACCTGCACACAACAGATGCATTCACTACACAAACTTAGCTGTGACGCCTGTGTTTCGTGTTGTTAATGAGGAAGTGTGTGTTGCTTTATGCGGTCACGTATGTGTGTATGCTTATCGGCTCGTGATTATTTTGCATGTCAACGTGTTGACGGAGCGCTAAAATCATATGGAGTTTTATGCGCTTGAGTGTAAGTCCTGCATTCGTGGTTATGATTACGGCCGCTTTGGAAACATGTGACAAAGCAAAGCATATTATGTTAGCCCGGAAAGCTACAACCACGCTCCGGATAATTTAGTGCGCTCAAATGGCTGCAACAGGCCACTTAAAGCCTTTTCAGCCCAAAGGTCATTGTCCACAATTTTCTGCATCATCAGCTGCAGACAGCAAAAACCCTCCAGCTGCAATGTACACTCACGTGAACATTTCTACAAGTTTGCAGTCACTGCAACCCTGTAACTGATTAACAGAAAACATTGAAATATGTAGAATAAGATTGAAAACAAGTGAAATCAAACCCTGCTCTTCTGTCAGTTCCTTCAGATGACTCATTTCAATTGATACTTTTCCAGCGTTGGAATGATGCTTGATATAAAATTCCTGCTTATAATTTTTCTAGCCAATAGCGCACAAGAGAGGACACTTGACACAAAGTCGTAAACACACATGGAGATTTCATTTATCAGACAGACACTGGCCATGTGCAAAAGCTTGGCTGTAGAGTCTGGCTAGGAATGTGATAGATTTCATTGTAATCATGAGCTGAATCTTCACAGAAACAGCTACTGATAAAACTAACAATATCACTCGACACTCCAACAGAGCAGATCCAACCCTCCCATTATCATATTAAAGCGCTTCACCTTAAGGAGGTTCAGTAACAGGGAAAAAAAACAAAAAAGCTTCCTTATTAATGCCTTTCCTCTCAGGTTTTCCTCACTTCAACTTATCACGCACTGTGCCAATCACTCAAAAACGGCTGCCATAAAAACACATACCTTCAAAATTTCAAAACATAGTCTCCCTCTTTCCCTCTTTTGCAGAAGTCAGCCATCATCTCCTTCCAACTCCAATCAGCCATTCCTATCTTCTCCTCCCTGCGTTAACCCCCATCCTCCTCCCCACTCCTCCACTCTCTGTGTGCTTGATGGCGGTACCGGACAGGGTGAACACTTTCTCATATTAATACTGGTTTGGCCTGTGTCTGACAGGAAAATGATTGAAACATTTACCCTGAGTAACACTGTGACAAGAATGAAGGATCTTTTGACGCTGAATACTGAATAAAAACAGGTAGATAATCTTAATGAGACTGTAAGGTGTTGATTTTGTGAGTCCACTATTATTTTCTTCAAAAGTTGCAGTTTGTTTTTCTGTCCAGCTGTCTGTCACAGTCCTGAGGATTGAATGTGAAGCCTGAGAGCCTGGATATGAGCGGTTGAACCCCTTCTCGTCTTTGAGTGCTACTAATATAAACTGCCTGTTAAAGAGATCCTTGCAGAGCTCTGGGACCACCAATGTTAAAGTGCTGCTCTTTCACTCGGAATTACCCTGTGGTTAGTGTCCTTTCACTCCTTCAGAAAAAAAAGAGAAACACACCAAATTAAATTACCAGTACAAAAATCCGTCCACCTAACCCCACTCTCCCTAACTCACCTCACTCTGTACCAAGAGGACACATGTAAGACAAGCCAGTCATGTTGAAAAGGGGCAGATATTGAGAGGAATGTGACAACAGGTCTTGCTTTCTCACTGTTCTGTCATACATATGTCTTTCTGTTGCAATATTGAGTAAATACAGACTCGAGACCTGACAACAGAAATATTACATATTTGATTTTAAAAGTCCACTGACCACTTCAACAAGATAAGACGAGTCGCAAATTTGAGTGATGCTCCGTTAAAGCTGACACTACTGAAACAAATCGCCCCTCTTATCACATTCCTGAATAACTGTAAGCAGTAAGTGGATGGTATACTGATTAAAAAGCTCTTACATTGCAAAAAAAGAGATTATATAGCATCTTTATTGCTCCATAGAAAGGCAGCGATGCTCATCCATTATAGGGACTGTGATAAAAATAATAAATAAAATAAAATTTGTCCTAATTTTAATTCATTGTAGGTCAGGAGGTTCCCACAGCTTAAAACTCAGATTATGTATTTAATAGGTCCAAAAAGAGCAGTGAGAACATGTCAATCCAATCATTTTAAAAGCACAGCAATTTACAACCCATGAAAATGATTGTTTACATCTCGACGTCCCAGGAAGCGAGAACATCTTCCCCGCAACAACTGCTTCAAGAGCTCGCTCTTTCTTCCCTACATTTTTCCTTTTTCCCCCTCTCACTTTCTTTTTTTTTGCTTGACTTTTACAACTTCCTCCTGGTTGGGGCTGCAGCCCTAACCCAAACAAAACTCCATTTTTTAGTTATTGGCCCTCATGGCATGTAATGGAGAATCAAGCTAATTATCCCTACAGCTGTTTTCACTTGCTTTTTATGTAAGCAATACCTGGCTGATCCAGAGAGCAACAGTGAGGCCCTTCTTAGCGCTCCAGGCCTCCAGGCCGGCTGGAATTAGAGAGCAAAATGCCAGGTTTTCCTCCTACCCCCCTCCCCCCCTCGATCCTGCCTGTGTGTACCCCTGCACCCATCTCCCAGCCCGACACAGCCTCCCCACCGAAAGCTTCCATTTCCACTCCCTTATACACCTTTCACAGCTCCCTCTTTGATGTTACACAAAGCCGCTCTTCAAAAGTTAAGATGACAAACACTCATTTTCTTCCACTGATGGTCTCGGTAATTGATGAATGAGGTGAGAGAGGGTGTGGCTGGGGTTTAAATTGTAACCACCTTCTGCTGTCACAGAAGCCAAAAAGGAGAGAGAGTGTAAAAAAACAAAAAGATGAGAGAAAGGCAGACAGAGGGGTAAAGGCAGAGAGCAGGAGAGAGAGGGGGTAAAGAGTGAACGAAAACAATCCCTCAAAGGCTAATTACATAATTTCCTTCATCTGAGCAAACACATGCTGGGTGAAAGCAAGTGTGAGCAAGTCTCACAGATGCCAGGCTGAGAGGGGCTGAGGAGACCCGGTCTGCTCTCGAACAACGGACAGCCTCTGCCACCGATGTGCTGAGCCAGATCTCGACGGCAACATTATCTGCACCATTTGTAGCTTTCAAGGGAGTCCAATCCAAAACCTCAGTATTTATCCTCTCTTTTCCAACAATCCCAGGGTAAAGAGACAAACAATTGCTGGTGTAACATTTCTCTTATTGCAGTTTTTTATTCCACCCTGCAGCCAGAAATCTGTTCAGTCCCAACACCACTAGGTGGAGTTGACTGTTGATGAAAAAAAAAGAAAGAAAATCTCATGTATCAAACTCATTAAAGTCCCATGGTGAGGCAGCGTGCATCTGTAAGTGAGTCAGACAAAATCTTCACTTTTCATGGGCCGTTTCTGGGCTCTCCTCTCAGTCAGACTCGAGCTTCACTAGCTTGCACTGACTCCACGTATCTTCACAAACTGACATCTGGTTTAAAATGAAGAGAGACAGAGAGGAAGAAAGACAGAAGGAGTTAATGGTAGCAATTTGAAGACTTGTATTATTCCAGCTAAATTGCAGTTAAGACTCTGCCAGATACAAAAAAGTAAAAGATCAATCCCTCCCTTGAACTCTCCCCCTCTCTCTACCCTTGTTTCTCTTTTTTTGCCTCTAATCCTGTGAGGAATGATGGAGGGCTCTCTGTGGAATGGAGGTGAGTTTCCCGAGTCCGGCCAAGGTGTGCCAATGTTCAAATGATATGGGTGGAATCTGCACTCCTGATGGGAGACTGCTATTGCACTCACAGACGGCAAGCCTTAAACCTTTATAACCACATATATTTGTGAGTTTGCTTGCATATGAATCATGCGCACAAATACAAAGGCCCAGACATCAAAAAGGGAGGCTGAAAAAGTGTAATTGGTGGTACATGCACAAATATTCATTTATCACTAAAAAGCCCTTGGGCATAAGTGAAACTATGTTAATAAAAGGAAAAATGTTCATGCAGGTCTTAAATACAAGTTTGCGCAACAATAAAAGGTGCATGGATTCCTCTCTAACCCCAAATTCCTCCCTCCTCCTCCCCCTCTGTCTCTCTTGATCTGTCTCTATTAATGTGCAGAAGTTCCTTCGACTAATCTCCCTCATTTACTCCTCCGAGCTTTTTCTTATCACAGGATTTCTTCTTTCTATCCTCTCTTTGCTTTAGGCTCAGTGTAAGCAGCAGCTCTGATATTATTGAGAGCTCCTCTGAGGACCAGCTTGTCCGCCTGAGAGTACCTGTGCATACAACCCACCATTGCACCTCCATTGTAAGAACAGCATAGAGACCACAGTGAGTCTGTGTCCCACAACAACACCTTGACCTGGAGCTAAACCCTAAAGTGGAGCTCAGACAGCGGCCCATCAGAACCTGGGCCGGAGAGCCCTAAACGTGCCTGCATCCTGACACCAGCGCAGGCCCAGCCGGGCAGGGGGAGACGAGTGAAACCTGAGCTCACATTAAAGCACCTCCATCAGGTAGGAGATCAGGGGAGGCCTCCATGCTCTCAGTGTCTGCGGGGGTCCGGGCCTCTGAGGCCCTATCTCACCTCCATCTGGAAAGAGAATCTGAGGGTAGCCTGATGGTTTGATAAGAGGCCATGCCGACTGACACGGTAACAGCCTCTCACCCCCATTTGCAAAGAAAAGAAAAACGGGGAGGATGCTAGCCAAGCTGTGGTGCGCTCTCATGCGGGTGTGGGAGGGAGGGTGGGAGACTTGGCATTGGACATGGGTGCAAGGTGGTGTTGGCTTTGCTTTGAAGGTTTTACTAGGTAACTTCAAATGTGTTTTCAGGTGCCATGCTTTTGCTAAGAGGTTTATGGAGTAATTTCCCCACAATAATAAACCTGGGCTTTTATTGCTTTTGTGCAATCGAGGGGGGAAAAAAAAAAGAAATGATGGACATGATTTCATAATTTATATTTGCATTTCATGAGGGAGGAGAGTTTCCATGCAGGAGATACAGTGTGGGCCCGAGTCAAGACCCTGTTCTCGGAAAGATGGAAAAGCAGGACAGAGAGCCAGACAATTGGCTGAGGCCCATTAAGCACAAGCAGCACTGTCACAGACAAATATCTTTATTCCCCATAAGTGTTTCTACTTTACTTTTTATCTATTTTCTTTTTTCCTTTTTTGTTTGTGTGTGTCCTGCCTCGCTCGTTCAAGGACCCTCTGCTTGGTTGTTTTCAAGGGCGCTACGAATGCTCCACCCTCCTCTTGATGTCTTCTCAAGATGAGATCAACTCCACTGACCCATCAGTCCTCACTCCTGACCCGACTCGTCGCTTCCTCTCTCTCTCACTGCCCACAGTCTCACAGCTTCTCCATCTGGTTTTTATTGCCCATAGTTCAGTCCCCTCTCTTAACTGATTTGCTCTGTTACCAAACCAGACTGGAGACATAGACGTTTTTTTTTTTTTTTTTTTCCTGTTCTGTGTTTCTACAGTATGAAATTATTTCTAAAAGCCAAGACTAAACACACACTCAACAAACTACACCACACAGTGTTTACATTCCTGCAGAATTGGTGCAACTCCTCCGAGCATGAAAAGACTTATCATCTGAACCATGACGATGCAGTTTTTTGGACATAAGCCTGATATGTTAATAAACCGGGGAGTCGTGTCAGCATTTTTATATGTGTGTCCTTGATAAAAACGGGGGCGGTGAGGTAATGAAGCTGCAGTTTTGGATGTAACACAGTTTGCTTTGGTCGCTTAAGGTCTTTCTAGCATCACTCGAACTACTCAAGAAAATAAATGTGATCCTTCAGATCTCAATCTGCCTCAAAGAAAAAACAGACTCACCTTCACATAGGTGTGTATCTGCCCTTGCATGCGGATCAGTGTTTGCGCATGAATCTGTATCTATGAGCGTCTGTGTGTCTGTGTGTGTGTGTGCGGGACACTTGTGTCAACAGAATCTGATAATAATGCCTATTCAGAGGCTAAAAGTATTTGAGGGTAGACAGGTTCAGACAGAGATTTACACAGTCAGCTAAGAGTTTTGTTTGGTCATCAAACATTAGAGCCCTTGGCAATCCAGTGGCAACAATGTGTTCATTTATTCCTCAATCCCACTTGGGCAAGGGGTTAACTGATTTTGTTTTGTGGTTTATTCCCTGTTCCTTTCTTTCGCAACACAGACAGGCACAGGCCACGTTGACTTCTCTCTGTTGAAGAGAATGTGTGTCCAAACAGGGCCTGAGACGGAGTGACAAAGTCGAGTTTGATGTCAAGTGGAGTGAGTGTGTTTGTGCTAGCGCAGCTGCACTGTGGTGCTTAATGCTATTTAAGTCCAGCCTCAGGAAGGACCAATCATGTTGTTGTTGGTGGAGTCTGTTTGGTGCTCCCGGGGTCAGTATAGCCTCAGGACATGAGACACATTGGATCTTTGCTGGGGATAAAGAGAGAGGCTTTCCTAATTCAAGGTGGTCTGCTAGTGATTGCTCCTTTAGTCTGACCTGTGTGTCAGTCAGTGTGTGAATAAAAGGCAGAGGGAACATGGGAAAAGATGCTAAACTAGGCCTGGGCGATTTGGCAAAAGAACAATCACGATATATTTTGTCATGTTGTCCGATCTCGATTATTATCACTATTATTTTTTAAACTGCCAGTTTTAAAGCATCTGTACTAAAAACTAAAGAAACTAGAGATTAGTTCAACATTTTATTAACATGCAAAGTAAATAACAAAGCAAACTGAGAAGGTAAACTTAGGAAAATATAAAAAACATTTTAACTCAACAGTACCACAAATGTAGATAAATACTAAATAATACAGTGAACTAGTTTACAGTTCTGAGTGTTTTTGCAGGTATGCAAGACCCAAAATAAACAAATCGCCCCCTCAGGAATAATAAAGCTGTCTTAAATTGTAAACGCAGATGATACGATTGGTTGCTGCTTTGGTCTGGTGGCTGCACCGCTAGTTGTCGCTAAACTGCTAAACAGATCTGTTGTGTTGCCGTTTTTTGAGGTACCGACCGCCAAGATACCTTGTACATCGGCTTAATTGCTCGACGTCACTTTGAACCACCACCACACAACCAACGCTGAATAACTTCTCAACAATAACATCTTCGGAGGATGACTCAAAGTCACGACTGACATCTTTTTTTGCTGCCCTAAGCCCCGCGCTTAGCTCCACATTCGGTCATTTAACTTACAGAAGTGAGCAGGAAAAAGCTCGACTCTGATTGGCTGTTGTGATGCACATTTCGGCTGTGATCACCGTGATCGAACCGAAATTTATCACAATCATATAATCACCCAGTCCTATGCTAAGCAGCTACTTTTGGGTTTGCTAATTCTGCTCATTCAAAATGGTACATTTGTAATCATAGAATAAATCTGATGAGCGTTTAATAATGCTAAATTCCTTGAAATTCAATGCTACAATCATCTAAGTGGGGTGTTTTCTCTCTGTGTTGCATATGTGGTAGGTTCACCAGGCTGTGGGGTCCCACTGCCAGCAGGCATGAGATGAGTAGGAAAGGGTATAATCAGGAAAAAGAGTGTGAAGGGGGGATACTTAAGGGGGAATAACCCACCTTTTTAGCTTTAGGGTAGAGACATACTGTGTAAGGTGGAACATGAAAAATAGAGTAATAAAGATATGGTGAGGGCTTCTAATAGGAGAGACAAACATGTGAAAAAAGTTCACATTTATGAGCCGGTTATGATTTCTGAGAATTAACTGAACCAAGAAAAGTCCCCTGGAGTAATAAAACTTTACACATTTGAATTTTTCACTTTGACTAAAGACACTTGTTAAGCAGCCATCTTGAACCTTTAACAACCCTTTGGCTCTCCCTGCACAGTATGGTGGAAGGTCCCGCCAGTGAAACTTAAAGAGAGATAGTGCGGCTCATAAATAAGGATCTTAGAAACAGACAGAGGTTTGGCTCTGAGCGCAGATAGAGAGTAAATATTCCTCATTAGTTTTGACAAAGCAGCTCATACTTTGGTGGTATTTATAGCTGAAACACACTGTACCCATTAAATAAACACTGATAGAGACATACACAGTGACAGCACTAAGACTTCCAGTAAACTTCAGACTCGTTCTGGGATTTATGTTAACGTTAAGATGCGCTGGCTAGGTAAATATGGATTGTTTTGATAGCTGAGGACGATATAAAGTGTGGCTGGAACTGTGAAGTATGTAAACTTGTCCTCACTTTGGTTTTTGAAGTCTGTGAGGTAAAATGTTGGCCCGCTGTGCTCACTGACCTCAGATAACTAAAACCCATGACGCGGCGTATAGAAATAAAGATGTTTACAGTTTGAACTTAAATAACCATGGAAAAACCTTTTTAATAAAGTGTTTGCAGGCTTTCAAAAACACATAAATGTGCAGTTTGAAATGTTGGTGTGTGTATCTGTGTGAACCTGGTCCATTTTGTGTGGGCTATGCTGGGTATAGTATCGGCTTAAGGCTGAAAGAATTCAGGCCTCCCAAGCAAGGTCATGTGCTGATGTTTAGTAGGAGCTTTCTCAGGTCACAGAATGTGACTTTAAACCATCACTCACATTACCCCACATCTTTGACTGGTTCTGTTAAACCGGCATACTCCACAACTCTCCCCCAGTTTGCTGTAATGACAGGTGACAGGCGTCTCGGTCCACTCACATAGCTGAAGGAGAACTCAATCCCAATAGTTGCGAGACATTAAATGTGTGGGTATTACAGGGATGCCTATGGGAATATAAGTGTAACACAGATTTAACCTTATAAATCTGGAGGGTGTTTTAGCCAAGTGATAATATTTCTGTATTTTGAATAATAAAGTAGAAAAAAAACAAAATTTAAACAGAAATTTGAGTTGCTGATTTTGGATTCCTTTCGACTTGTTATTTCCTCTAACGCACAATAACTTGAGGCTACAAAAACACAAGTTAGGGCATATAATGTGTATATAATAACTCTTTCTGGAACAAAATACCTATTTTTCATTTGAAGAACAGTGTTGTCTAACTTTGTACAGGGATACTACACACTGTCATTGTTTCCTAATTGGCAAAATCAGCCTGAGATGGAAACTCAAGTTTGAGCCACGATGACGACAGGTAGAGGTGAAATGAGCTTAACTCCTGTCTGATATGATAAAAAATCAAAAATAACTTTTAAGAATTTGTATCATGAATAATACAAAATGGGTTTGTATATGCTTGTTATATGGTTACACAGGCACACACATAGTAAATGTGTGAGGTGTTCCAGCCTCACTCTACCCACTTTTTGATAAAGCTGTGACAACCTCTGATTTCTACTCTGTTAATCCACCAAAAAGTCTGCTGTCTTGTCTGAAGAACAGAGGATCTAAGTATACATCATCTAAATAAGCCAGTACCAGTCTCTCTAAGTGCTAGTACAGATGTGTTCGTGTTACATGGGCAGTGTTTCACGGGGATAATTACATTTTGTCTCTCTCCACCTGGGCTCTGACACATGTTCAACAGCTCAGACGGACACACCCAACCTTACATACTAATGTCAGACTGTCAAAGTTTAGACAGACGGAGAGAAAGAGATCATAAGAGCCTGAGTTTTCTGTGGAGTTAGTTTCAGGTGCAACAACTACTTTTTTTTTCTTCTTTTCTCTCTCTTAGCTATGAATACACTCACGCACTTAAAAATTCCTGAACTGTCTCACACATGCAACAATAACAGAAAAATGATGAGAGTCATTGTGTCAGGTCTGATTTTTTTTCCATCTTGAAAAATGCATTCAGTGATTAAGGGCTATAAGCTACACTGCTGTCCTGCTAGATATCATAGCTGCCTCTGCACATCTGGTCTTTGGTAAGAGCAACCATAACTTTGGCTTCGACTACAATACTAAGGAGCTTTTCTGAGTGTCTGCAATCACTTCAACTCTAAAAATTACAGAAAATGTACATCCATATATGTGAACGCGTACGCTGTGAGCATATTTAATAGTGTATGTAAGGCAGCAGCAAATGACAAAGACAGAACAAGAGACAGAAACAAGCGGTGATGTTTGGTAATAACAGTGGTTAAGGCGTGCTCTTTCATTGAGTAAATCTGCGCGGGGCTATTTCACACTGGAGGAATCTCCTGTCGAGCAGATCAAAGGCTCCGCTGAGATACAGGGCCTGCACTGGGCGCGAGGAACAGGTGACAGCTCCGACACAAAACCGTGGCGTTTACACGTGCATACCAAAAACCTTCAGTGAGCGCACACGCTGCTGAATGAACACACAGTGAGATCAGAAAAGAAGAGAGTGACAGCTTCTTTTGTATCTGGATGCGCCCGTGGGGGAAGTCTTTCTGCAGAGCTACAAGAGAACCATACATCTATCATCCGAGCTTCGAGAACCACTTAAAGAGAGTCAATACTGGCTATATACACAAAAAAAACACACACCAAGTATGTGGCGGGCATACATTTAGACCTTACAAGTATGAGCGTGACATGTACCATATGAGCCGAACATTGATGAGACTAACACATGTATGGAGGACATCTAACTTCCAATGGTAAAGAAAGCCATGAGGGACTCGATGTAGCCTTATGATGGATAGATGTAATATAGAGTTGGCCATATCCAGAGGGGGTGAACATAAGGCTATGTCATCACTGGCCCATCTCTCTTCATACCTTCCATCACTTTTCACTCCCTCCTATAAACAGCAGGATGGGGGATACTCTCACTCCTACGCACAAGGACACGCAAACGCGCACAAGGACACATGCACTTGCAGGGAAAACGCAGAGGGATTCAAGCTCATGTGCGCACAAAAGATCAACTGGTTTAATTGCAGCACGGTCCTGACATGCACACAAACTCATGCATGCATATACACAATAACATTTGCTCCAAAGAGAAATGAATCCCGGGTGGTCTCGGAGGCAGAGATGTTTCCACTTGAGAAGGCTCTGGTTTTGAAATCACGCGATCTAATTCATACTGGGTTCAAACTACACACACACACACTCACATCTGCACAGAGATACCCATGAAATAATATAAAAGGGAAATAAATGTGTACAGAGGAGAATAGAGACAGAATAAATGGCTGCAGGGCTTCTGGTGTTCACCCAGTATCACCCACCCCACCCTGCCTCTCTCTCTCTTTCTCTCTTTCTGCTATTCAGCTCCAGCTCAAATCAACCTCGAGATGCTGTATGTTTAACACGGGAAGGTCCCACCTTAAACACGGCCATTATGAGCAATAGCTTTTGCTGTTTTCATAGAATATGAGAAGATTACACAGCACTATGATGGGCCAATTACGTCCTTCACTAAAACACACCTCTGTACCAACAGGTCTCTAATGATGATGGCTTAAACGTTTTCACCAATAGAGCCCTTTCAGCTGCCCCTGCAGACACACACACACACACACACACACACACACACAACCTGCTGGTACGGTTAAATACACACATAGGAACATACATGTACACACAAAGGCAGATGCTGACGGAGTCAAATTGAATCCTTGTGTTTAGCATATAAAGCATCCCTCCTTGCCACAGAGGGCTTTCTGTGTCTGTTAAAATGTGTGTGTCTGTGTGTCATCATGGCCAACTCTCTGTATCAGGTTGAAGTTCGCTTCATTCGTGGATAAAAACAAGGGAGTGTGGCTACAAGTGCCAGCCTTCCTTTCACATCTTCTCAGCATCCTTCCCCATCCCCCACTCCACTCAAACCTGTGTCACCTCTGACCCAGCTCCAATTCACTACTGTCATTATGCAATTAACACCATTTAAGTCATTTGGCTGTAAGAATGTGTGTGTGTGTGTGTGTGTGTGCATCCACATGTATGTGCGTTGTATATGTGCATGATAGCGCAATTACAGCAGCACAAGGGAGCCTTTTTGGAAGCGGAGAGCGCAGCAATCAACCAATCAGCCTTCAGATGGCTTTGACATGAAAAGAGAGCGTGGCCCCTTCTAACCCCGGGGGTCAGCCCCAATTTACTCTATTTACCCACTCAGGAATGACTCTGTGTGTGTCAAGAGGCAGACACAAGGAGGGAGAGGGAGAGGGAGTGATGAATAGGTATGGAAACGTTGGAGTTAGTGAGTGGGAATAGAGACGAAGAGGTGAAGGAGAGGGAGGGATGAGATGCCCAGGGGTTGTTGGGCAGGTGAATTGTAACAGGAGGGGAGGAGGGTGGGTGGGGTAAAGTGGGAGGTTGAACGGAGGGAAGGGGGATACGGGGAGAGGCCTTCAGGTTGTGTTTGCAGAGCTAAAAGGCCAGCAGTTGGAGCCCATTTGCTAACAATTTCCCCTTGGAGAGTGGCTCTACACACACACTCCACACAAACTTTTTTCCTATCCTGCAGAGCTCGGATGAGGAGTGACAACTTTACACTTGGCCAGAGCTGTTACTCGGTGAGATGCTCCATCTTGATAATCGAGCTGCTTTTACTAAAAGGAAATGTAGAAATTTACTCAAACATAAACACAAGATTATTAGATAAAACTAAATTTCTCTCAGTTGTTTTGATCCACCCTGTTTACAAAATCATACTTCTGCATGCTTTATCCCATTAAGCAAAATTCTATATACAAATAAAAATCATGATTATGTTACTGCTGACCTCTTTTCAGAGCATAAGCTGGGGGCAGCCATGTGATATAAACACTGGATGAAAATTAAATCTTGTTTTTTTGAAACCATATTGGAGCAGGTGAGCCATCTGCGAACAATATTTGCTTTTATTTTTTGCAGTGATTTTGTTGATTATTGTAATGCAGCTGGATTCATGTTGGAAATTCTGTTTAGTTGAGCATTCAGGAGAAGTCCAACGACAAAAGACAGATGTCAACAAACTCTGGATTTCTGTTAGGCAGTATCAGAGTATACTAAAGGTACAGTGTGTCAAATTCTAAAATGAAACTCTACCCTGTTAACATCAACCGTCGATGAAGCGACTATTGCTTCAGAGCTGTGATGCAAGTATGATCCACCCATGAATGAAATTTAGATTTCAAATGTGGGGGGGCACATGTGACTTGAGTACTGTTGAGACATATAGCCTAGCAAACAGCACATCCCGCATACACAATAACAGAGGAGGCAATATGGCTAGCGGTTGGATGGAAGTACAAACCCGATACAGGGATGTAAATGAAGTGCCTGACGATATCGGTTTGCTGTAGCGTAAAGTAACATTGTTTTTAGAAGTTAAAACTGCAGGGGGCCAAAACGTCCGTGGATCCACCATTCATCAAGGTTTAACTATTATGCCTGTTCATGCACAACTACCACTCTCGTCTTCCTTGCCTTCCAACATGGCGTTCACCGACTAAATACAAAAAACAATATGGTGTATAGTTTGAGGATTGGTGGTGCAAGGTGGCAGCCTGTTCCTATGCAGATCTAAAAGGCTCATTCCAAATTCACAAAAACCAAAGAAATTTTATATGATATGATATAAAAGCAGTAATATATAAACTGAATATTACGAATCACTCTCAGAGACGGTGTAATATCCCCACACCGCTGATATTAGGTAATTATACATTTATTTGTTATTCAACTTCTTCCAGGTCTGTTCTGCAACATAAAAACGTACATATTGTACCTTTAAATCCAGAGGACAGCAATGATAAAAAAGCAGTAATATATAAACTGAATATTATGAATCTCTCTCAGAGACGGTGTAATACCCCCACACTGCTGATATTAACTTCGTTTTTCGACGATGACCACAAATCCCTAACCCATCCACCAGGCATATGATTGGCATCAGACATGTAGGAGGATCCTCCAAACATCACAAATATAAACACTGATCTCCTTTATGACAGACATATAGGTCTTTTGTACATTGATTATGCAGGACAGCTCCTTTATCCAGAAAATACAGGATTCCACATCAACCTTAGAAGAGTGACATCCCTAATTCATAGCACATTACTGAAAGCTGATTTTTGTCAGTGTTAATAAACTGAAGTTAGACCAATCCTTTGGCACATCCCTTAAAACTATGTTGGCTCCCTTTAAGCAAGTTTTCCGGCTAAAAAGAAAATATGTGCACTTTCAATTTTCTGGGATAAGACATGCAAAACTAGTGATACGGTTCTTTAACAGTCGACTCTCCATGAACGATGAAGTTTTTCTTCCTTCTGTCCCTAATTCAACTGTTTAATCTGAATTGATTTCATGTTTGAAGAAGGAAAAAAAAAGTCTCTGTTTGCGTTCCTCCCTGTACAGAGCTAACAAACCCTCTGATCAATAGTGCAGCTGTGAGGTCTGGTGCCAGTGCCAGAGCTGGGCTGCAGAGTAGTGAGTAAAATACAACAGGACCAGTCAGCCCCTCATCACACCAAACAACCTCCTGGCTACAGAACAAGGGCAGGAAGAAAACCCAGAAACAGACAGAGGGACTTACAGGGAAAAGACAAGTGAGCACAGATGCTCCGGGTTTTCAGGCTCCTGGTCAATAATATCACATATCTGAGGAGGGCGACGTAGGTTATTCTATATCTATTCTCTGTGTGTGTGTTTATATGTGTGTGTGTGTGTCTGAGTAAAAGTGTCCTGCTCCAGGGGGCTTAGATGTGGGGTGTAATCAAGTCCACATGACTCTACCACGGGAAGTCCTCCAGCAAGAACAGGAAGTAGGAACACAGGGACCACATCATTAGTCTCGCTAGTCACAAATCCTACAGCCAATAGGAATCTCAGTCATGGTGGGAATGGGCGTGGTTGTGCTGGTGTGTCCATGAGACACGTCTATACATTTCTATTTATGTATGTGTGGAGCCTGCAGGCTGATATTAATGACTTATTTGTTTACTGAGCGTAATGAGTCCCGGTTGTGTGTATGTGTCTTTGGAAAAGAAGGAGCAAAACTCTGGAGCAGGATTGGGCTTGCTGCCAGAAAACCGGAGCTAAATCACTGGATCACACTCATACACACTCACACACACACAAGCACGCACACACACACACTTAGATCCCCAGACAGTGAAGGCAAATGAGAAACAAATGGTTCCATTGTATGGTCTATACCTTGTCTCTACTGTTCTCCTGTGTTATGATGGCACACAGAGTGTAGTTTAGAAAATAGCCCGTCCAAATATCTTCTACCTCCACACACACTTACACACCTATACACACACACACTCACACACAACAGTCCCCCCTCCCTCCACATTCTCACCACCCCTCCGTTCTCTGTTCTGCAACCCATCAAGAGTAAAAAGGCTAATTTCTGTCGATAGCTTACAGGTGGCCAGTGCAAGGTGAACCACATCCACTCTGCAGGCGAACACTAGGAGACACATACACACGTGCGCACACACACACACACGTGCACTGACACTTAAAAATATGCATGCCTTTAACCAACCCCTTTATAAATCCAATGCTAAACATCAAAGAGAGAAACACACCTTAACACACCTCAAAGGCACCAAAGACACACAGTTACACATGTGTGCAAACACACACACACATACACACACTTAGACATCCAGACTCAAACATATGCACACTCGTAAACCTGAAAGCATGAAGGATTTTCAACCCATGGTCTGAGGGTCAGTTCCAGGCCTAGGACTTTCTCATGTTTCTAAACAGAGGAAAAGCTTTCCAGAGCGTTCATAAAAATCTTGTAACTGTCAGGAATTTCCTTGTTCCAAGTTCCCCAGATGACCGCTATGTGCTATAGCAAGAATTTATCAGCATCAATCTGGAAGTGAAACCCAGCATTTTATCTCTTATCTTGGTAAATATGCCTTTTGGAAGGAGAAATTCTCCAGCTGACAGCAACAATTTAAGTGTGAGCATGAGGCAACTGCTACAAATGTCAGCAATATCGTGTTAAAGAGGTTCAGTCCAGCTTTGCTTAAGTTTTGCTTAATTTTGATCAAACAATTTTGATATTAGCTCTGAAATCCTATCAGACATCCACATTAACATACATCCCCACTAAGAAAACAGAGACAAAGTCCTTTACGTATCTAAGTTCAATGATGTTGGGTTTTCATTCCTAACAACAGAAACAGTTGAAGGTAATAGAAAGAGAAATGGTAAAGGATTTGCTATATTTAACAAATAACAGGGTTGCTCTGATTTTTACAGTATTCATCCAAACATGAGACCAATCTGATAGTAAAAAAGACCCCGGCCTTTTTAATGTACATTTTTAAAAGTACTTTTTGAAGATTATGTCATGCTTTTATAAATGATTAAACAAGAATTGTTGTTTCATGCATTCAAATACAATTATGTTTTCATTAGTTACACTGAAACTAGGATTTTCTCTGACTATTAGCATTTATTGAGACAGGCTGTTGGGGCTCACAATCTTCATATCTCTGTGACACAGATCAGCTTCATAACTCCTGCTCTGTTGCTGGTGAACTTGGCTTACTCTAGGGCTGCTCTGTTCCAGACCATCACTGTGTCTCTCCGGCTTTATTCCTCTTGATTATGAGCGATGGCTGGCCTCAGTATGAGAGGTATAGTCACTTTAAATACAATGGGCAGCAGTCACTGTTGTGAGCAAATATTGGCGTTGACCTGGGATATAAGATGATCCCACTAATTCAGATTTCAAGGAAAAACACACATCTTGTATTCGGGTCAGTACTGTAATCACTCTCTCTCACACAAGTTTCACATTTTTGAGTATCCATCTGTCTCTCCCTTAGTCAACTCATGAAGGTTAAAAAGCGAGCTGCCAAATTACAAGACCAGACTGAGAGCTTCGGCTCAAACTCTTGCATTCATTCCAACCAGCAGAGGTGTATGTGTGGTGTGGTGTGTGTGTGTGTGTGTCAGTGTGTGTGTTTGTGTGTACTTCTGCACATTAAGATTGGATTGCAGCTCTTTGAAGCCCTGCCCTTGCCTTCATTAAACACAGTCCTACAGCCTGGAACTGCTTTCTGGGAATGTGTCGATAGCTCACACACACACACACACTTAAACACACACTCATACACATACACACATGCACACACACACCGCAGTGCCAGTAAAAATGACCAGCTCTCTTTGAAGCTTGTGTCACTGTGCAAAGTGATAAGATGAAAGCTGATCATCCCACTCGAAGAATCTTGCAAAGCCTGAAGTGAACATTGTGCCGACAAGCCTGCACATAGGCCAGGAGAGCCTGACGGGTGCCAAGCTAACTGCTACATGCCATACTTATCAGCTGCTATCTGATTGGACGGCGATTGCCAGCTGCCACTTGGCACTTATAGACTAAAGGTGGACAAGCTCCTCTGATGAAAAGAGATCCTTTGAAGTTTTGTGGCGCACAGCAGGTAAAAATGGTTAAGATTAAAAGAACGCAACCCCTACACACATATGTAGTGGGTGGTGTGTGAGTGTTTATGTATCAGAGCTTTTTAAAAAACACAATATGGAATCAAAGTGGGTGTACCAGTTTTTAATTTAGTCCTGACACTTAGAAGGTGGCTTTCATGACTTCAATTCAAATTGGAGAAATCACCCAATCAGAATAAAAATAACTCATGTAACACTTTGATCAGAATTAAACTATCAATCTGGTTAGACATAAGACAGGTAGTGTATTCCTTTTGTTTTCTGAGTAAACAGTCATGTCTGCACTCATTCCTATTATATACTACATGCAGACGTTTTCTGCATGATAGTACTTCTGTTTCTTGTGACTCATGGTCACGGAAGAATACTCCGAAGCATGGAGGCATGAAACTGGTCACAGAACAAAACAAGCATCCTTTATGACATTCGTTATCATTAGAAACAGCATAACAACAAAAACTACGAATCAACGCCACAGACGATCTACCTCCGCCACCTTTATTGTGTTGCTGCTATCATGTCACATTGGTGGACACTGACTGTTATATTGTTAAAGGTGCAATCAGTATTTCAAGCATGTAAACACCAAAGTGACACAGAAGACACATAATTTCCTAGTCAGAAAGACTGAAATCCAAATAGTCAAAGTTGTCATGTGAACCCACATCAAAAAGGACACACTGATCAACTGAGTAAATGTAGAGGAGACAAACAGAGGGGACACACATTGAACCATCTTTTAAATCTAACAATGAAGGAATCCTTGATGTCCAACAAGTTAGCTATAGCTTAGCTCACTTCTGATGTTCTTTATTTAGCAATGGGGATGTCAGACAAACACTGATTATTGAAATGAAAGTGCTTCATTTAGGTCCTCATTTAGTTTTGAATCATCAGTTGCACTTTTATTTAATGTTACCATCTCTGCTCCTGGTTTAAACATTGTGGATGCTGATCTAAGAAACTTTTGCAGCCTGTTTTTGCTAATGTGATGTAAACAGCTTGAACATCAGTCACAAATACTCATTAAGAATTCATGCTTTTTGATTTTAATACATATCCTTTTGAGAATGAAAATCATCAACACTGGTTCAACGTTGTTAGAGGGATTCCCAGAAAGAGTGCAATCTCACAGCTAGAAAAATAAGACAGAGGGAAAAGTTACATTAATGATTGATAATGGGAAGAGACATTAAAAAAAGATACAGTGAAAGTACAGAGGGGTAATCCCTGTTCCCGCCCTGTGTAGACGTGCAAGCGAGGATGGGATAGCCCCCTCACACAGGTTTAAACAGGGGCTTATCCCAGCTCTTTGATACACCTCTCAATAATTGCCTGCGTAAATTTCAGTGTGTGTTTAAAATGAATGTGTCTTTGCAAGTGTACAATGTTGTCTTGTCTGTCAGTCTTGCTCATTATACTTAATCCTGGGGATGACACTTTCAATCCTCTCTGTCAACCCGGGCCTTTGCAGCGGCACTCAGGCAAGGAACTGGGTTTAGCACTTGTTCTCTGTCTTTCTCTCTCTTCACACACACATACACACACTCATGCACGCACGCACACTTGTCAGGTAACACTACAAAGAGAAGAAAGCATTTTTGCTTGGCAAAAAAAGCAAACAACTATCTAACATCTGTAAATGTGTGCATATGAGAACACACACTGCAGACGCAAAGAAAGAGGAATTCAAGCAACACTCAGTGTTTGGAAACATGAGACTGCCACAAAGCCATGATAGGGAGCGCTTACAAGGAGGCTTACACTGATCATTGAACACTTAGTTATTTGAAAAACCCACAAAAGTATCTCACTTTTCTTTCTGCCTCTCAATTCCATCCTTTTCTCCTCATCTGTCCTCGTCTCTCTCTGCTCTTCCAGAAACGGAATCTGAGAAATGTCGACAAAATATCTTTCACCAGTTTTTCATACTGTTTCTGCTTTGGTATGATAAAGCCAGGGTATGTTGCCTCATTCCTCCCCCCACACATAGACTCACTCTCTCTCTCACACACACACACACACACACATACTGTATATAGCAGAGGTGGACCATGTGCATGCAAGCACACAAACATGCACCCACTCGAAGTTATTTGGTAGCGTGAGGATCAAAACACACAAACCCTCTTCAAGCACTGCATCTGTTTGAAAAGTCAATGTCTTGAACTTCTTGCTGCTTCATCCAAAATACACAAAGTTTAATCAGTCTCTCCTAACCCTCACTCTCTGACATCAGAGCATCTCATGATAATATGCGAGTTTGTATGTGTGTTTTTGTGTGTGCGTGTGGTACGAGGATGAGGCCGAGGTCGGGCTGACATAACAGCTGACATCACTGATAAAATTTCTGGCCTGTGATCTCAGTGTGTGTTTGTGTGTGTGTGTGGTGCTGGACTAACCAGTTGGCTTCAGCAGCTCTGATCTGGCAACCCCTCTGCTGATCTGGCAATAAACGGTCCCTGTTGACCCGTGATATTGAGGAGACATTTGCTCTTTGGGTGGTGTGAGTGAACCTCTTGGGTACCTCGGTTAAAATTTATACATAAATCATTACAGATTATTTTTATTTTTGTGGGATTCAAATTCTTTTGAAGGACAGAAAAGCACACCCAGAGTTTATATCTGGAAAGCTACTTGTCTTATGAGGCAAGAGGATTTTACAGCGAGTCGCCATGTTGTACTCTCACTATTAATGAGCAGATATTATCCCAAACCCATGAATATACAGCAATAATGTGTTGTCTACAAAATCATCAACCCTGTGTGTTATGAAGCCTAAAATCTGAGATGATCTGACTTTTTTCAGATTTACTTAAAATATGAAAGTTCTGTTTTAGGGCTGGGTGATATGGCCGCAAATCAATATCACGATATATTGAGCAGTTCACCTCAATAACAAGAAAGAACGATAACTACTACTCCACAAACTGCTCACCCCTTCCCACATTAATTTTGTCTACTTCAGCTGCTACAACTTTTGAACCGTCCTTCATCTCCTCACCTGTCTTTCTCTCTTTGTTACAGACTGGATGGGGTGGAGTCATGTCTCTGATGTATGACAGTGTCTTAAAGGGACATGACACCATAGCCTACCTACACACATCCAAAACCAACTTTTATTTATTATTATATGACATGGGCAAAATGATCTCGGTTATTGTTGTAAATTTCAGTATCGGTAAATTTTTGGTTTATCAACCAGCCCTACTCTGTTTTATATCAGCGTCCGTAGGTACTGTATCCACTGGGGTCGCAAAAATTAACACATACCAGAAGTTCCTCAAAGGAGCTTTAGAAGTTAAATTGCTCTTATCTTATAGGGGGTTTTGACCTGTCAAAACAGGGACAGAAAGAAAGAAAGTGGGGAAAAAAAGGAGACAAAATTTTTGGATTTGTGGTTTATTTGTTTCCAAGTTCAAAGAAACCGGTTTGCCTTTATGTATAATTGCGTAAAATGCAAGTTATTCCTTTGAACATGCACAGACACACATGTATATGTGCACGCAGACAAACATACACACAAACAAATTCTGGCTCTGCCTAGTTATTACTTAAGCAAACAGAGTGAGTCTGGAGGGAATTCCTGCTGTGAGACACACCACTTCCAGACACAAAAGCCTTCGTTATAACAGGGAAACAGACACACAAACACAGCTTTAAAAACGCACACACTTTACACTGTGTGAGAGAAATAACTATGTGTATATGTAATTAGAAGGCAACAAACAAAGCAAACACATGTTTGGGTCTTGTTCCCTGGCCTGCACTACACTTCATTTGCACTGCGGTGCAGAGGGTTCTGCTAAACATATGGTGCCTTTGTGGAGTAGCGGGAGGTTTTAAAGCTTGCCAAAGATGAACATGTCCCTGTATGTGTGTGTTTGTATGGTGTATGTTTCTGTATAGTTGGCTTGGAAATATCATTAGGATAGAACAATAAATACTGTAAATATAGGCTTTATATAGCAGTAGTTGTTGGTCTTTGCCCAAAAAGATTTTTGTTTTGCTTTTGTGGTGACCCATATAATATGTAGACATTCATGCAATCACACGTTATTTTCCTTTGCCAGGAGGAAAGATTTATTGGCTAGAAGCTCATGCTAATTTGAGCTACAGCATGTTTCACGGCTAAGAGGTGTGCGTCATATTCTTGGTTCCTGTCCACAACTTCCCCTATAATAATTCTTTAAAAGTATGCAAACAAATAATTGGAATAACTTCAAGCTTACATTTCCAGTCATAAAACAGAGCTTTAATGAAAACTAATGTCAAACTCCTGATTTGAAATTGCCTCTGACTCACCTGTTATTGAGCATTTGTTGAATAATTACTCGGTTAAGCCAGCTTTCACGGAGAGACGAAAACAGAGAGAGAGAAAGAATGTGACTCAGGGAGTGCTGAGAAATTAAATTGAGACACAGAAGAGAAAGACAGATTGCGTACGCTTTGGTATGCCATCTTTACGATCTGTCTGTGAGAGAGCTTGTGAAATTGAACTCAGGTGTAGCATGATCCCCAAAAAGCCATTTCCACATTAGGGCTATGGAATCTCACATAAACAAATTACACAAATACTTTCTCTATAAAAGACAGGGTGAGTTTTCTCGAACTGTGCAGTGAAACCTGAGCGGGGAGTTGTTTATGTGTGTGACAGGGTGTTTACATTGTCCTCCGCTCCCATCCCTTCAGATGGAGAGACCGCCAAGCCTCCGACAGCTTCAGTCCTGTCACACTACCTGTCCGTCTGTCTGTCTTTAGGGGTTTCTGTTATGGATAACATGTGCTTGGCCTGTATGAGTGTTTGAGTGTGTGTATGTGTACGTATACGTGTGTCCATGAGGGGAAAATGCCTACCAGTACTCTGTCCTCATTACAACCAGCTTAACCCCTCAGGAGTGATGACTTCAAGAGAGAAAGAAAAGCTGGAGGAGGAAAATAACAATGACGAATAGCAGCAACTCTGACCTACTACCTGCCTCTACTTATGAATCTCATTTGTTACATCCCGCCACGTGTTGCAGGCACCACTCTTGGTCTTTTGTCTGATCTTTAATTCATCTACTATGTTTATGGGTCTCGTACCTGGCTTACATTTTTAAGGTAGATGGAATGTTCATGTCAGCTTGCTAGCTTGCACTTGCAACCCTGCCCACACTTTTTCCTGCCCACTGTTTGAGAGTAAATTTTGCTTCGCCAGTTCTGGTCTTGACCGCGCAATAATAAAACCACAGCCTGGCCGCGGAGCTGTAACACTAGAGCCAAAGCAGAAATATTCACCCAGACGTGTGGATTCAGATACAGCGACCTGAAAGACCCATCCTCCAAATTTCAAGCTTTTCTCTGCTCATTACATACTTCAACAAAAGTTATGTGCGATTAATCCGTATATCTATATACAGTTCTCCAAAATGTTGATTCACAGATCTGAGTGACCTGACCTGATTCTTTATCCTGACGCCCAGAAGGAGTGCACAGTAAACTGTGATGCTGTTCTGAGATCAGTCGGAGGAGGACCACCCAGCAGTGCAGCTAATCCTATAGCTGCAGGGTTGAGGCCTTCCTGCGTACACACTCTGACAGGCTGGGCCACTCCTGGATAGGATATTAGAGTGGAGCTAAAGTACAATGGCACCTATTGATGACTGGTGTTAGCCTTTATCCTGCCATTCCCGACTCTGGTTTGGTGAGAAAGAATAATCTAAGTAAGTCCCTCTTGCTCTGTAAGCTCTCTCCCACCCTCTGCCAGCTGGTGTACAGTTCAACCCAGTTTTAACTACAGGTGCGTCATAACAGGGCTTTAGAAGGGCGGGTTGGCCGTCACAGTCAGGCTTACGCGGTTCCCCTGAGAATTCGGATGTCAAAGTAAATACTGTTGTGTGTTTTGTTCTCATGTCAGAAGTCATGACCTTTTCAAAAGGCACCGTGAAGAGTTTTGATGTTTGTTGATTCTGGCAGAGCAGTCTGAAGGAGTTGTTAAAGACCCACTCCAATGAAAATCATGTTTTTCTTGTTGCCTACATGTTCACATGGCATTTTTCTGATGCTACAGGACATATCATGAGAAAAGTATTGTGAATCTCTTACAGACGCAAACGGCAGGTTCAGATTCAGGGAGATTTCCTACATAGCAAATCCAAGCTCCGCCCCCGGAGCTCCACTATGCAGGCCACATGGAACAGCTCCACTACGCTCTGGCACGGCTGGCAGATCAAATCCACAAGCATTATTATCAATGTGGGTCATTCCACAGAATCACTCCGGCTCTGCTGCGGATCGGCTCTGGCAGCCGGATCAGATCTATCTTTGCCAGATGCCGGAGCATGGCGCACTAATCAGTGCAGCACGAGCAGCAGCGGAAGTTGTATGTATGTAAGCTACTGGGGCTCTGCAGAGGAAAAGTCCTTGAAAATGACAAAGGTAACGCGATTTTGGCTAAAAACTTCATAATCACAATTTAAAGACCACTGAGAACACTTCAAGTGGTAAAAAAAAATGATCGGAGTGGGACTTTAAATTTATCAGTTTGGACGATCAGACCATCTTTGTGGTACAAATGTAGGTTTTTGTTGTCCTTTTGATTTTCTGCTGTCTTGACGCTGCATGTCAGACACTATGTTAGTGGACCAGTTAGTGATTTAAAACATGAAATACAGATTGGATACCCCTTCAACAGATAAATCAAAAACACTGTCAGGTCTGAATATGTCGAGTATATTAGAGATGGTTTCCAAGAATCACTCACACTCAGAGCTACCACGTCTTGAGAGGCCTGAGACAGCCCACCGCTTTCTATCAGAGTGTGCAAACGCAGCATAGCTCTCTAAACCTCCACAGCATCTTGGTTTTGATAAAGCTTATTGTAATTGACCACTTATCACTTAGGCTTGATGTGGCCAACCATCTCAAATCTGAGCCTTGCTGGATTGGCAGAAACACAGAGCGGTCCGCTGCTGGTTCTGCTTTAGAACGTCAAACACACTCACTTCAAACACACAGCCGGCGGCACTCGACAAGAAACGGAGCTGAAGAGAGTGAGAGACGAAAAGACAGAAAAGAAAACCAGAGGGGGCAACAGAGATGTACTGATTCAAAGCAAACCCCCAAAGTAGAAGCCCGAGGATAAACATCCAATCAGAAGAGGATCCCCGTCTAGCCCAATCACAGCGCATACCGATGACAATCCTCCCCAGACCTGACCACGGACTGAAGAGAGTGAGAGTACAATAAATAAATCACATACACACAATGTGACCTAGATACACAGCAGTATCTTAACTAAGGTCTTGACTAAGCCTGGCCTCAGTGCGACTGAACTCAGAGAGTCTGCATCCAATCTTCCCTCAGTCTCAATACCATCCTTCAACTTTTCCTTTTTTTTTCAGTCCCTGCAACCCTGGTTCCACTTTGCTGATGAGTGTGTAAATGTGTTTATGCATGTGTGTAGGGGGATCCCATGATTTCATTGCAGACAAATGGGACTGTCTGGGCTCAATTCTGGCCCTCATTTCGGAGAGAAGAGCACGGCGGGTATTTGTAGAACAAAAAGGTTGTCGGTTAGCATATCTCATGGTGTTTTTTCGTGGAGGAAGTCTTCCTTTGGTCCAGAGTATGTGCGCACACAAGTCTGAGCTCGCCTTTTTACAGTTCCAGTGTGTGTTTCTGTGGATGTGTGTTTGTAGTAGTGTCTCTGCCAGTGTGTCCAGGCTTGCATGAGAGTGTGTGGTTGTATAGATCCCCTCTTGGCAGCGGCGGTGTAAGCTGAGGAGGGTCTTACATGGGCTCTAATCCTGTGCTGAATGTCATCGTACAAGTGTGGCTTTTTCACAGGCCCAGATAAGAGAAAAAGAAAGAGGAGGGAGCTCAACTACACATGTGTGAGTCCTACCTGTGTGTGTATGTGAGCACAAGTGCATACATGTACGGGAAGGACACCCCGGTAAAGTAGCCTGACCCATTGGTTTGCTGACAGGGATTATGGTAGTGACATACAGTAAGCCAGGAGGGACAGACAGAGCAGCTACAGCACTAATCTTCTTGTCTGAGCTGATCTAGTGACAGCGAGAGAGAAAGGCCACTCTGGCATCCAATTCTAGGGTTTCACTGAAGAACACAACCTGGCTGAAAACACACTACTCAGCCCAACAAGCCGAGCTGTGTTGAACTAACATTTCATCCAGACTTGAGGTCTATACGCCTTTCTTTCAGTGAGGGGCCCAAATGAGAAGTTTATTCTGTAGCCCTGAGACTCAGAGGCTTTAAAACATTTTATTACCCATGTGTACCTCGCAGCATAAGGCCTGTGACCCATTCTGGGGGTTTGACGTTCAAGTTCAACAAACATCCTGCAGGTTTGAAAAGGTCACCGATATAGTATGTCAGCGGCTCTTCTCTCGAGGAAAAGACAGCTTTCATAACCGATTACTCCGCGAGACATTCATAATAATAAAAAGAAAGGTGAAGCTTGTTTGGACAAATGGCAACATCTCACTTTTTACAAGCTTCCGAGATGTGGACAACCTTCAGGGAAAGTGTTAGGCTAGCGTGAGAAATAAACTGCAGCCCACTGTTATACGAGGCCTAATTAGTGGTCAGCCCCTAATGTTGAGTGGCAGTCCGCAGGTTGTTGATGTTGTTACAGTAGCCCTGCGATAGCCCAAACTATAAAGTGTCTCCGCTGACTCTGCACCGGGATGACTTTCAGAGGGAGGAAACAGGTAAATTCCTGTTAGTTTTCCTCTACAATTCTACAAGGAGTGTCCGATAGCAGCTCAGGCATTTCTAGTAAGAGGGAAAGAAAAATAGTGAAATACCTTCTGCTATTACTTATTAAAATACATTTAGTGTTATTTCTGCGCCACAGTGTTTCCGTGGGTGTCAATCTTGATCATAAATGTTTGCTTTCTATTAGGCGATTAGGTGGTGTGTACAGAGAGTCTGTGTGTGTATGAGAGTATGTGTGTGTGTGTGTGTGCCACTAGCACTTGAGTTAAGACATTGTAAGTGCTGTATGTAAGTTGCAGGGTGGGACTCCCTTTAAGTGAATGGAATCAGTAGTGATCAAGTGACACCCAGAGTAAAGTCAGCAGGTGTGAGACCTCTGAATCCGTCCCTCTGCCTCGGAGCGGTGATTGACAGCTTGAAGGTGGGTCTATACGTTACAAAAACAGCAAAACACAAGACTCCCTAAAACTTGAGGTTATGTGTTATTTTTAGAGCTTTAGCGAATGACGCAAGCGCAGGAAGTCTTTGGAAAATAACGGGTTTAACGTCAAAGGCTGTGATTCCTTTTTCTTCTGTCTTCTAATCCCTGTATCTCCCTTCACCAGTGCCTGTCTGTGGATGCTCTGATTTTCTCTTTAGGATGTCTTGAACAGGGGATCTGACCTCTTGAACGTCCCTCTGAGAGTTCTCCTGTGTATGATAATTGTGCTCACACACAATGCAAATCCACACAAACTCTCATGAGTCGTTCCCCAGGTGCGAGTTTCTCCTGAGGGAAGGGCTTTCCTGTGCTGCCATCTCAATAAGCTCACATAACACCCTCATAATCCTGCCAATCTCTTTTTCGGTCATTTTTTTGGATATTTGTTTCAAACACACACTCCCACAGCCAGTTCACAGAGAGATCTCACTGATTTTAACCCCTAAATTGACGATTTAATTAGATCTTCTTGTATGAATTTTGTGGTATGGAAGAACACGTTTTGGAAAAGTACACCACACTTTAAATGAACTTGTGCCAAAGTAGACTCATTCCCTGGAGGTTTCTGTGATATTACATTCAAAGAATCAGAAGGATGTACAAACAGATAAATACATGAACTCTCCAAGTATATAACGCTTCTGGGCACAGCTGTCCCTAAGATGCACAGGCTTTAAAAAGTAGAGGAGAAAAAGGGTGAAAAATAGCGACAGCTTGAGGTGTACTGATTTATGACTGTGGGCTGGCTGTCTCATTTCTGCACACAGAGCACACCAGAGAGGAGTTTACAGACTTGGACTGAATCACATCTGGCATGTTCAGACAGAGAGGGGAGGATGAGGTGGTTCAGTAGAAGTATTTCACCTCATAGAAACACTCAGGGTGTCAGGGTGTTATCCAAATCTGAGATTTAATTTGATTTAAGGCTCTAAGATTGCAACTTCACATCGTTTTCTCATTAAAATACATTTTTAAGCATGAATGGGTAAAACATTGAATACATTTATCTGCACAGTGTTTTCTCCCTTGTTTACAAAAATTACATAAATAGTCTGTTGTTTGCACTATTAAGTCTATTCCTCAAGGGAAAGTGCATATTATAAAAACAATACAAAATAAAAAGTCTGAAAGTCAATAAATCGATTTAAACATTTGTAGAAGTGCTTGTGTTTAGCAGTAGATTTCAAATATGTTCCAGAAGTTTCTCTCAGCTCCAATCTGCCAGAGAAATATTCAGTGTTTAGCTTAACAGTAACTTTAGTGCATCACAAAAAACACAAAGTGACTTAAGCACGTCACAATTTTTCTACAGGGTACTTGGTGCTCTGAGGTGGTACTCTCAAAACACTGATGCTAGCTCTGTTTTTTTTTTTATTATTATAGAGTTATGGGGAACCCCAGTGTCACTCTTTCAACCATACCCACAAAATCCTGAATTTGAAAATGATCAAAATTAGTTTAAGTGTATAACTTTAAAATTCAGTGGTTTAGTGGTCTCATACTCGTCATACTTCCAACCTATATTTATTTTTACATATGAAAATATATTTACAAACAAATAAAAAAAATCCTCCACATAGCCCTCAAGAAACTGTCCCACAAGTGTACGGCACATGCCCTCAAATGGAGCAAAACCATGGTGCAGATGTAAAGTGGTTGTCCTGTCATCTCCAATTTAATCTTAAGACAAAAACTTCATTCTTTTAGTTTTAATAAGCAACCGATCCAAACAATAACCACATATCCTTTTCATGTTAATCTGTGTGCACACTCCCAACCAATCAGACTACGTCGTCTTTAGTGTCATTGTTTCATGCAGAATTGTTGTGACGATCAAACTAAGCCAGTGAATTGAAGGTCATAAATGAAAAAGCCCTTACCCTATACTTTTATTTCAATTATGCCCACATTAAAGAAAAACAAAAGCTCACTGTCTTCTGAAAAACACATTTGTGCACTTGAAATAAAACCCCAAACAACAGCCACTAGCTCTGAAAACACTAAATCGCCACATTTCAGCTCAATCCTGTAAAATCTGTGAAGTCAAAATGCTCAAAAGTGTGCAGTGCAGATGTTATTTGTTGAATCAGGATGACAACCAGACTGTATAAATTATTAAACTTTTACGAGGAAATGGGTCACGCTTGACCCAACTTTTAAAATTCAAGGATTATAGTCACATTTTTGTGATACAAATGCTCCTAAAATTGAATACTGTACCAAACAAAAGTGGAGCTAAACTCCTAATAAAATGAAATCCTTGAATGATATTAAAGTCAAACTCATTTTGAAAGTGCATCTTCAGTAACTCCGGGGCACTGGACAGGATGACCGGAGATAACGTCTGGGCTCATTGCCCACTGTGGTTTGTCTTGGTCCCACTTGGGTGGCTTGGTTGAGAGAAAAGAGACTCATATTTCCCCTGCATGGATAGGCACTTTTGAGGCAGTGATTTACTTGCATCATAGAACTGGAATTACAAAACCTTAATATCAGTCTTTGCACCTGCACATTTGTAGTGTGTAGGTGTGTGTGTGTGGCCATATCTGCGTGTGTAATGAGTGTGTTGTGGGTGTGAAAAGGGGAGCTTACTCAGACAAACTGTCTTATGATCCACACATCAGGTGTCTAACTGTCCTCTTCTGCACACAACATCAAGTAAACCACACAAAAAAAGCATGAATATACTTGTCTGCTTCACAAAATTGCCAGTTCTTCCCCCCCCCCCAAGCCTCCTTCCTTAAATACCACCTCGTGCGCTGTCTGATGGGCTTGAGGAGGAGTCTCTGGGTCCTGTCTGTCTACAGCTTCACACATTGACAGCAACAAAGCAGCTCTCACTGTTATTCACTTTCCTACTTGGCTAATAACATCTCTGGCATTTAAACCAAGTCTAGTAATTCGTCACGATGTAGGAATGACAAATATTCCCTATATAATCTTACACAAAACACTAAAAGGGTTTTTGGATGTGTTCGTTCTGTAACTGAACCTGTTAGAGTTTCAGCATCTATGTGTCCTTTCTTTTACGATCACTGCGCTAAAAGGAGAAGAGGCCCTTTGAGCGTTGTTTCAAGACACATATAGAAAAAGATACAATACACAGCTCGCCCAGATGTTGTTTCTCAGGTGTTGCTGAGTTACTGACTTCTCTCCACTCATGTTCAACCTGGTGGAACAACCTCTGACCCCCACAGACTGATGATACCGACAGCTGGCTGAGGGATGGACGCAGTCAGACGCCTCCGCTGACCTCCGAGCTGCGGTTCACTGGTCACCAAAGAGTTGCAGCGCAGCGAAGCTACACACGTGAGGAAGGAGCAACACACCCAAACACAGCCCACATCCACACACTCTAAGTATGTGTGTGCATGTGCACAGTGTTTACATACATACACACAGCTGGAACTCTGGGGCATGGGTTCAGGGGATGCTGATGGAATTGAACCGTTAATTGTAAACTTTTATCTTAATAGTTTAAAATAAAAGACGCTAATTACTACAAACAGACTATGCATCATCAACATGTTTATCACTTTTATTGTGTCTTTTTTTTTTGTTTTGTTTTACCATTTTCACTCTAAATGCTCCTTTGTTTTAAGCTGTCTTGTGAATAACAGACATATAAGAGAGCAGACTATTGACCTCTGACCTGTCGCTGTTGACCTGATTGTTTGATGTGTGGTGCTGTCCAGTGCCATAGTTGCAATATTGCAGTGTTACAGACTTTTGGCCAATTCAGTGACGTCATCAAAAAAAAACACAGTCTGCAGCGCATGGCACTAATTAATCATTAATATTTGTGAGCATGATGGTCTGCTGCACACCAAAAGCTATGTTGGAGGATTGTGAGAAAAAAAAAAAAAGGCCCCTACCCCTTGGTTGTGTGTATTCAGAGCGTTGGAAATAACAATGACATTTGAGCTGAACAACAAGATGCTTTGTCCTGAGTGAGTTATCAGCTGACTGAGTCTTTGGCTGTTGTGTCAAAGTTGTGTCAAGTTTTACAGAGTTTAACGTTTGCATAGGAAAATGTAGCATCATTGTAAATAATAGGCAGCACTGCTGGGTGCAGCTCCGGGTCACAGGCGTATCATTGTGTCATAAATCATTAGTTTGGGCAATAAATAACCACAAAATAATATAGAGTTCAGTGAAGTGTTTTTGTATACATATCGAATGATTCAATTTAACACTCGAATCAGCAAGGCAGTCATTTTGACTGCTTTCAAAATTATCAATGTCATAAATTTTTTTAAATAAAACCTATACACCAGTCGCACCCTAACTTTTCCTAAATGTGTATAAATATTATTCTAACATTGTTTTATCATTAAAATTTCAAAACACAAAAGAGATCTGAGTACCTCAAACTACCAGAGCAGTCAAATTGACTGCATGCTTTTCACAAAGGGTGTTATATTTCACTATTTGCTACATTTTCCTGCTCTTTCTCCTGCTCTAATTTTTTTTTGTACTTTTTTTTTTTTTTAAATCTCATTCATTATAATTTTTATGTTGTGTCCTGATGTGTTTTTTATCTATTCCACTAGTTTATTATTAGTTTTTATCATCGATTATCCCATTTATGTGGAAATAAAGACTGAGCAGTTTTAGAATTCTGGTAGACCGAGTGTTAAACCCGTGGTTCAATTAAGAAGTTAGAAAAAAAGGAGTTTGTTTGTAGGACTTGCCTGTAAAATGTGTGTTTTTGAAATTTCTGAATTCACGGTATGAAAGGTGAAACCTGAACCAGCCAATTTCTAATTTTCAGCCTCTTTTTATAAAGCGTCCCGTCCCCCACTTCTTCAAACAGATACCACCATCGCATGGGACCACAAGCCCACTCCTTAAGTAAGCAGCTTTTTGAGGAATCAATCATATTTGTCAACTAAATTCACAGTCAGTGGTTACTTTGCTTCATGACCATCAGGTGCAGGTCAGTTTTGATGAAGAAGAGTCAAAAAGAGTGAAAATCTGTTGCTCAGTTTCTACCTAACTCACTCCCCTATTTCTAAAGTAAGGGCGACTGACACACACAATATAGACACACAAAATCTGTACTCAGTGCAAACACAGCATGGGCAAATAAAAGCTATCTTCCCGACTTGTTTTAACCTGAACAAGGCCTCTCTCCTTCCTGCATGGACACACACACACACACACACACGTGCGTACACAAACATATTTCTGTCCCCACTTGGAAAGCCTCTCAGCTTCTTTTCGCTTCATTCAGTACAAATAACTTCACGGTGGGATAAAAGCATAATGTTTCCAGAAAACCTCTTCCCCCCACTTGCTTTGCTCCTTTGGCCCCATGTTCTCCTTCACTTTCTCCTCCAACCCCCTTCTCTCGTGCTCCCTGTCCAAAAGGACATTCTTATTTCATTAGAAGGGGTCTGGGAGGCCAAGAGGGTAAACAAAACCTCCGTAATCAACAGCAGGACAAACACAACTTACAATGAGCCAATCAGAGCCCAGAGTCCTTTTAGACAAAACCATAGCTAACCAACACAAATCCACACCTGGACGCTCAGAAGTTCAGACCTTGCCAACTCAAACTCAGCACTTTGGTTTATGTGGAATTCAAAAATGTAGCTTTAAACTTGGAGTCAAGGTTGGTCAGAAGAATCACCAATCAAAGCTTGCTCACTCACAAGCCTACACACAGACATGAGAGACACACACATGCACGCAGATCCTCGGCTATTTGTCTATCGGTGCTGTCATCTCTGTTTGCTCATATTAGGGAAGGCTCACTCAGGGACAGGATATGGGGATTAGGTCTGGCCTTATTGCGCTGTAGCTACACACTGCTAAATGGCTCCCATCTGTTCTCACATAGAGGGCGGCTAATACACGTTAGCTGCGCTCCCATTGTGCGCTGCCAGAATAACAGCAGTGGATAGATGAGCAGCACTGATATCGCTAGCCACAACACCACTCTGCGCTAAAGGCTAATGTGCCGGGCTTATTCTATTAGATTGGGATAAGGAGCACCGACGCACACATACATACACACACACGTGCGTACACACACCGTCAGGATATCTGATCGTAGACACCAGAGCAGTAGGCTAGTGACTGGCCCGGCTGGAGGTTTACCTTGAAGGAATATATGTTATAATGGGGGGTGGGGTGGGGGTGGGGGGTGAAATCTGTGCAGAGGTGGAAAGAACAAGAGTGATGGAAAAAAGATGGAGAGATGGAAAGAGAGGGAGAAATGGAAAGAGAGGGGGCAGTGTGGTCTCTTTCATTACGGTGAATCCTGACACTGCTGCATTCTCGGCACACATGGACTGGATTATAGGCTATGTAGGCCGCACTGTATAGCTCAGCAACGCTCTCTTGCACACCAAGACACACACAAACACAGGCTCGCAAATGCACAAATAAACATCGCGGCTAAACACGGTAAAGCTTTGCACTGCAGGAAGACAAACCATTTGCTCACGCACAATCTATAGGACTCTTAATCCCAAAAAGCAGCACTGGGGCAAAGTGCACAACTACTAAGTCATTGAGGTTAGAGACAGAATCTGCTTGTGATGGTCCACCTGTGGATTACTGGGGGAAAAGAATGAGATGCATTGGAAACTATGAGTGTACCACGCTGCCCTGGTTTTCTCTCTAGTTCCCACATTTGTGAATCCAAACCCTCCCCCCTCTTTTCTATCTCTCACCTCTAACATGTACGTTTATAAATCTCTCTTTGTCTCTGTCACTATTTGTCTTATGTGCAGATGTATTCGCTTCAAGCAAACCATAACCCCGCCTTGCGCAGACCTCTTTCCGCACGTCTGTGTTCAAAGGCATCCTGAGTCCATGGGGGGCTGCGATATAAAACTCCCAAAACAGGAATTATCCTTTATGACTCTGCATTCTTCACTTTATGCTTTTTCAGCTTGCAGCCTAAAAAAACTTTGTGACTGTTCTGTGTTGTATTGTAATTAACTACCCCACACACTAACACATAACAGGGTGGGGTAACGTGGTAAAACTTTACTACAACTGAAAAAAAAAATGGAGCAAAGAGAGAGACAGACTAGTACATCTCTGGTTTTTCTCACTGTGTCGTTTTTATCACCTATGGGCCCTGGTAGGCTAGCCTCAGGGTGCAGGGTGTGTATAGGCTTAATACCACACAGTTACCTATATGGCCACAGTATGCACACACAGCATGCCACAAAACCAGCATATGAGCACTTCACAGAAAGTCAGCCATAAACCCCTGAATAAACTGAGGCTCTGTAGTTGACTGAAATACATAAGCAATGGGAAAAGGAGCCGGGTTCTATTACACTCTCTTCTGTCAGAGTTGGGCAATGCTGTGGTTATTGTGGTACCATCAATGTTCCTTGCTAATGGTTACCCAGGCCCACTGAAAAAGCCTTTTTTTTGTACAGAAGATCAATAACCAAATCTGGAGCAGATAAATAACGCTTCAGCATGGCAAGGGGTGTATTAATTTTGAAAATAAATGAAGCAATGCAACAATAGAATTGCAACAAAAACTCACTGTGGACAGATGGATGCAGTTACCGGTGATCATCATGCCCATATTCCCTCTTCATCATCCTGTGAGACAAAAAGACAAAGAAAGAAAATCAGTGACATTCATTGTTACCAGGTCAAAACTGCATAAACAACAGTGATTAATCGTTATACAGTTATGAATTTTCAGTAAAGGCGACCTTTCAAATCTATCTGCAAAGAGGAGTCGAGCGCAGTTCACCTCTGCCTCTCAACACCAGTGTTAATTTGGAAGCTGTTTTAGATTTAGTCTGAGTCAGTGGATTAACATGCCTTTAGGTTTCAGTCACATTTTGGGGACTTTTTCCCGTCATTGTTTTAGTCGAAAAAAGTCGATTCATTCCAGTTTCGTTACAGTCAATAAGAAGTCATTACATTTTAGAGTCGGTTAAACATGTCTTCAAACTAATTCTATGAGCCAATCAGAAATTATTACAAAGGTTTTACGTTTGTTTAAATCTGTTATGTTTCACTCTCATTACACTTTAACTTTTATGGTATCTGGATTTTTTTATTGGCTAATCAAGTTCAGACTCTCCCATCAGAGCAGTGTTGCTGTTCTTTCCCTGCTGATCTACTAATATAATATAGAGGAATGATCCTTATGACAAGATAAACATCTTTTCTGTGACCTTTATGGATATATTTGTTTTCTTTGACTTCCTCTGATTTGTGTGGAGTGGAAGAGGAGGATCAGGTCTAAGTCCTCAATGTCCCCAAGTCAGAGAAATGCCTGTGGAGTACTGGACACTGTGCTCTCACCTGCTTCCTTCAATTATGTGTAGTTTCTCGTTACTACAGTGCATCTTACTAAATTTGAGCTTTAACATATTTCCAAACTTTTACTGTCACTGATGAGCTTTTAGCTTGTCATTGTCTTATCTTCTCTTAACCAACCTGAACTCAGTGGTGAAGTATTTACAAGTATCACTGACTAATCTTATAGTGCTCCGAGCCCCTTGTGGCTCTTAATCAAAACAATCCTGTTCATGTCCCTCATTCAGAAAACCTGTGTATGATATCATGAAATGCTTTCCCTCGCAGTGATTGTTAGGAACCAATAACTGAGCACACAAGGGGATTCCTCGGGGCTGAAACTGTGCAGGCAAGAGCCCTGCTAACAGGAAAGCTAATTCACTCAGACACTAACATTACAATAGTTAGCATGAGCTGGCAGCCAGGCCCTTGTCTGCATAATGCTAAACCAGAGCTCTGCTAGATCAGGGTCTACGCTAACGCTTCACAAGACCTAAGAGGCACAAGGGGCTTTGGCTGCGGTCCACAGTGGCTTTGGCTGGCCTGAGTGGTTGTGACAGGCTCAGTAAACTCAGTAGGCTACACCTAAGCAGCTAAGCTATAGATATAATGGCTTTTCAATGGAACATGCTATATGCTAAATGCTAATGTGCAGTGAATGGCTGTGACAGGCCCTGTAAACAAAGCCAGACCTTTAACCACACGTTCTGCCAGGTTATACACACACATACATACACACAAACACACACACACAAACAGGCCAAATACCATGTGCTACATCTAATAAACATGAAACAGGCAGCATGTTAAATTTTAGAAAAAAAGAACAACAACCCAGAAGAAAAGGTTCTTATAATTCTACCTCTGATAAACACTTTATGGCTGTTTTCTATTTCCTTCTGAGGCTGCTGCCAAGTATCTGGCAGCGGTGCTGGTATGGCTAAACGAGAACAACATGAACACAACATGCCCGTCAAAGTGCACACACTCCATACTGAGACAAAAGCCTGGGGTGCATCTAAAGAGACTAGATCCACTTCCTGTTCTTGTCCTTCCACATTAGACTTCACCTGCTTCCAAGTCCGTCTGAGATAAAGTAGTTGGAGGATTGGGATGGACCCACTAACTGTAGCAATTAGCTTTGAATGACATGTGGTTTGGCTCTTTGGAAAACCGTGAGTGTTTTCTTGTGTTTGGGTGTTTACTTTTACAGTGCCTGCAAATATGCGCAAGTGTTTTTTAAGTTGTACGTTTGGTGTGCATCCAACACGTGCATGTTTATCTCTAAAGAAAAGCTAATGAATAAAATGCATTTACAGTCAATGTTATTCACAGCACAAATTGGAGACTTTAAGTGGTGCTGCAAGGCTCGGAAATAAACTAAACCACTAGCCTTGCTGCTCCTAGGTATTACATTTTCATTGAGAAAGATAGAGGAAGTGAGTAGCATAGGAAAGAAGGCATTGAGAAAAGGACATGACTGAGGAGTAATCCATCAATTCGTACAGCCACTTAAAATAAATACATTAAGAAAGTTAAGAGATGATAAATGAGAAAAGAAGAGGAGAGACTTTAAGAGTAATTATGATGACATTTAATTTGTTGAATGTGTTTAAAACCAACAGAAGTTAGGATTAACGTTAAAACCTGATGGAAGTCCAGCAGTCCACCTTTCCTCCTGCTACAATGAGGAGGATCACCTTGATTCAAGTACCCCAGACCAGTAAAAGACTCAATCCAGACACATTATATCCATTACTTTAAATCCACAAAAGCCATGTGATTTCGCTGTATTCTTTCTCAGGTAAACAACCTCAGCATAGATGCTCTAAGTGATGGGAATTCAGGCTCTTTTTAAGGATCCAGATCATTTGGCTCAGCAAGAACTGTCTCTTTCAGCTCCCAAACGGGTTCAGTGTACATGTCAGGGACCTTAATGGTACACTGCAGGGAAGTCAGGTAACATTGGTATTGATAGTCGTTGGTTGAATTAATGTCCAGCTCTGCAAAGTGATTACTCAAATTCAAAAGGGGCAGATAACAGGAGATGTGAAGTCCTGTATAAACACTCACACTTAAGACACGCCAGTGGCAACCACACTCGTTGACCTCTTTCAGTAGTGCACAAACACAGACACACAATCGAGGACACACACACAAACTCTCAAAGCCTTATCCTGACCTCTGCCCGACTTCCCTATAAGGTCAAAGATCAGATATGTGGGAAAGCCACAAAGTGATTGGTTAACCTCTGTCAACAGGGTGTGCTGTCCAAAAAGTGTGCGGCTTGACACGAGAATGAGACAGAAACATCTTAGCTAATCAAAAAGAGGTTTGTCTGAAAGGTGCCACATCATCTTGTCACACTTCTAGTCAGATTGTGTATCTAAATCTACATTATTTGCAGATCTACAGGATTGAAGGCATGTCTTTTATCAAAACAACATGAAGTTGTTTTCTATTTTCCCTCCTTTTAAATCACTTTTCAATTTTATTTTCTGACAGATGTTGCATTCAAAGTGTGAGCTTTTACAGTTCCCTTTTATAGACAAAAAAATATCAACTTTAATAGAAAGCATGATTCAGCCAATCGGCCAAGATTTATGAGTTATTTTGTTATTCCCCACATTCTTAACAAGATTTCCCAGCAACCCTCATAATACTGTCGCTGCAGAGCTTTTGCAGCCCAACTTGAGAAGCTGAAAAATCGCTTTTTAGAAGCTACTGTTTCACATGTCAAACACTATAAACACTGTTGCTGTAAAACAGTGCTGGATATCCATCGTGCAGCAAGGATATTTATAAGAGCAGAGTAAAGGAGAATGATGTGTGATTAAAATGTGAGCCCCTGCACCTCACATGTGGGCCCTGCAGTGCCTGCAAGTATTTTGGCATATGGTGAAATAATGCAAAAACTTGATGGATTTATATTATTATTGCAGCAAGAAAAACACAACATAGCATAACCTAAACTACAGGGCTAGAATTTAAAAAAGGTCCTTGTGGAGTTGTGCTGTGGTTTCAAGGGTTAAGTTATGTAGCATGAAATTTGCTTCACCGCTTTTAACTTTCAAACACTAAAACAAACGCCACAAAAACCTCCAAAATGAGATGTGGATTCGTTCTGTAGCTGAGAAGGATGCACATGCTCACATAAATAAAGCATACTGTAATATATTATTCAAGTGTGACAGGATTCTGGATGAAATGTGGGCATATGGATGTCAATCAACCCCAGACCCTCACATTCTTTTAGGGATCAAATATAGAGTTTTTCCATAGGCGTGAAGGGCTAACAAAATATTAAAACCAGCTATTCTGCCTTCTTTGCATGTTGCTGAGGTATGTGTAGGGTAGGGGAGCCATTTTTCATATCTCAGATCACTACATCAAGGCGATCATAGTTTTGTCTCTAACTAGTGTATCTGCATATATTTCAAGATGTTGTGCAAACCAACAGAATGAGTGTAAACATAACTGTCTTGATAATAGCATGCCAAATAAAAGTGGTCTTCTATGGTCAACTTACCCCATGTATGGGGTAGGTTGATCGTAGGAGCGGGGTAAGTTGAGCCGTTTCCCTTCTACCCCCGACTGTCCACCCCAGCCCTCCCTCACCCTCTCTCTCCCTAAATAACAGTCACTTCTTCACATTTTTGTGTATTTTTATCTATTATACGCTATTTAACTGGTACAATAGTTATTTTATTATTATTATATATAACTGCTAAAAATCTGCTTTGTAAAAATCCATTTGAACATGAGAATGCCTTTAAGTGATTCAGAACATTCACGGTGCATTCTTGAAAAGAAAAAGTAACACTTTTCAACAATCTGAACTGAAACTCTGATCTTCTGATGACCCCTGGCCAAATGGCCCAACTTACCCCAGAACTACTCTTATGACTTTATTAGTCCTCTGAGCTAAAATGGTGGACTTTTAGGCTAGGTTTCTGACCTCATGTTGTAGCTCATAGATACCACAACTGATGGATAAAACAAATCTAAAATGATCTTTTTTGGTCTGAACACAATTCAAATAAAACTTGTGACAGACTAAATTCACTTTCAAAGGGAAAAATGTTTTTTTGGAAATAAATGTCTAAACCCTTCACCCATGTGCTTCTAACCTTCACAGACTCCATGAATTGATGCCCATCTCCTAAATATTTGGTCACATGATCAATTTCTTTTATCATTTCCAAGCAACAGGGGGTGGCTGATCTTTCCCTTTGGCTCAACTTACCCCACTCTCCCCTACTGCATGGATGT